TATTAGCTCAATTATGCTATTTATTTTATTTAGGAAATATAAAATCCAAGGAAAAGGTAGTAACATAATTGACTTACATTTCCAAGGCAGAAATTAATTAATTATGCAAAATAGGTTTTGTTTTATCTCCAACAGAAAAATGGGACAAAGCACAGCACGAAGAAAAGCACAATCTTACTGAAAGGACATTTTAATTTGTAGTGAAGTAGGGAGATATAACGGTAATGAAAATACAGAAGGAAAAAAGAAGATAGGTTAATAGCCTTAGAACATAACTGTATAAATTTGGGTCCTTTGTTGACCTTGAAAGGTTAGAAATCTTAAAAGAGTTCTTTGATGAGTTCCTTGATGAATACAAAACAAATGCCTAAGCAAGCTTATGTTTTACTAAATCATATTGGATATGGTTTTCCTTTTAAAATGCTATCATCTTATATAACCTAAATGAATACTGTTGAGCCACTTCTTTCTGGTATATTACTCCCACCCCCACCCCCAGGATGCATATAGCTCCTACTCTAATGATGTTCCATAGCCTTTGAAAACCTGGCTGTTCTCCCAGGCTTTAGGCTAAGGTGGCTGCAGTGCTTTGTAGTTGTTTTGCTTTAGGTTTGTTGGTTCTCCAATGGACATTTATTTCTTGAGTTGTGTGACTTGTTCGCAGTCAGGCAGCCTCTAAATTATACACAGTATATAAATAAAACATAAGAGACTTTAAAGGATGTCTGCAGTGACTAACCTGGAAAGTTTACTAGAATGGAGGCTTTCAAGCCACTTTTTCCAGTTTTGAAGGGTTTCATTTGGCTAAAAGACCAACTACATCATGTTTTTCAGCCCATGGTCCACTTGCTCCGATGCTGGCTTCCAATTAGTACCGGGCACTTTTCCCCCCCCTTTGAGGTATTTTAAAATACCAATGATCCAATAAAGGTCACAAGAACCGACAGGCTTTGGGTAAATATACGATTTACCCAGAGGCACCTTATAGAGAAAGGGATGCCCCAAGGAAGCCCCTCGTTTTTTTTTTTAGACGACACTTCAAAGCATCTTTTTTTCCCCAACTGTACTTGAAGTTCCCAGCGAAAGCAGCAGCAGCAGCAGCAGCAACGCTCGTTTCCAGCAGAGATCTCGCCTGCAGTTGGCGACATGCTACGAGTGTTCCTTTCCGAGTGTTCTTTCACGTCGGGTTTCCCCAGTGAAGAAGGCAGCGACACGCTCGCCTCTCCCCTCCCCTCGCTTCCTGCTCCCGCTCCGTTGGCCGAGAGGCAGGCGCTCTGAACAAGTGGCTTTCCTCCATGTTCTCAACTCCATCCGAGAACTTTTCCCCGACTGCGACCTTAAGGGAAACCTTGCGGGCAAAAAGTTTGGGTGGTGGAAAGGGCGGCGGCGGCGGGGAGGGGGGAGAAACAAACCCCGGCCGCCTCCTCCTTTGTTCCCCCTCCTCCACCCCACCCACCCGAGGTCCCTCGTGGGCGGTGGTGGTCCAAGGGCTCAGCACCTACCTGTTGTTGCGGACGCTGCTTAATACGCAGAGCACGAGCTCCAGGTATGTCCTCAAGAGCTCCAGCCAGCGAGGGCAGAGCGGCGCTTCCCCCTCGGCCACCGTCGCCGTTACCGCCGCCGTTTCTTGGCAGACCCCACTCGCGCTTCCGCCGCCGCCGCCGCTGCCGCTGGGATAGTTGTCAGCGGCGAACTGGACTCGGAGTTCGCGCACGAACCAGCCGCACTTGCGCATCAAGAAGTCGAGGCGCGGGCGCTCCGCCGGGCAGACGCGCAAGCTGAGGCGCAGCCGGGGCCACAGCGCCGGGTAGAAGAGGCACTCGCGCCAGTGCGAACAGGCGGCTGAGGCCCGAAGTCGGTCGGGGGCCGCCAGGAACGAGAAGATGTGAACCACCAACTCGCTGGGCAAGGAGCCGGCGCCCACCGACCCCCCGCACACCGACGACATCGCCGGCCCAGCCGCCGGCGGCCGTAGCCCAAAGCCCGGCCCCGGCCCCGGCCTTCCCTCCGGCTCCTGCGACAAAAACAACAACATCAATGACAAGGCGGAGGGAGGCGGGGCGGGACCGGACGGGACTCTGCTACCGCCGGAGCCTACCATCGCACTCGGCCGCAGGGGGAGCCTGGGACGTACCATCGGATTCCGGATGAGGGCGGCGGCATGAACGGATGAATGCATGAACGCCCTGGGAGCGGAGGGAAGGCGAGAGAGGAAGAGGGATAGGCGGAGCATACCAAAATGTATCCAGCAGGCGGGGATAGCCGGGTGCTGTTGCTTTTATGACTCAGCACAACTGAAGGACAAGGGGGGGCAAGGCGGTGTGGCTCGTCGCGCAGCTTAATCATCTAGTCTTGGCGGGCTGAGCTCCAGCAGCCTCCTTAGCAAAGCAAAAGAAATTTCTCTCGAATTCTGGGTGGCAGAATGAGGAAATAATATAAAGGGAAAAATGTTCTGTGAAGAAAAATGAAAATACTTATAAAAGCCAGATAGGCGGAAATTGTTCTATAATACCACACCTTTTCACAATGCTCAAATTGCTTGAGGCTAAGTTGTTAAAACGAAACATTCTTTTGGTGAACTCAGTTGGTTTACTGAAAGGATATATTGTAATAGAAATATGGCATTTTTCTCAGCAAAAAATACTTGTCAGTAGGTGATAATTTTGTTTCAAGTGAGGAGCAAAAGGATGGTCAGGTACAATCTCTGTCATACTTAACAGACAAATTTTCTATGCAGAATGACAATGAATTGGAGCTGCTTGTGATAGAACCCTAAAACTCCTGGATCCTTTCAGGGAGCAGTGTTGGACTTTCTCAGGGATGTTTAAATTCTTGTAGAATATAATTTATGGACATGTCTAATAAGTTTCTTAGAACAAGCCTAACCTACTGTGTTTGATTGTATAGGTTTCTATTTCCCAGCTGGAGAAATTAATAGAACAGGTAGGAGAAGTATTTACTTGCCAGGATCCGTTGAGTCACGAAGCATATCATCTTTTTGAAATGTATTGGGATTCCCAACTATCAGTCATGAGATTGGATAAACAAAGAGCCAAACAAGTTAGCAGACTGCAAGTTTTTTTTAAAAAAAATCAGGTGATATTGACAATAGTTTTGCCAGTTTCACCTTTGGTAGTGGTTTCTCTTCATTCTGTTTTCAGTTTCATACATAGAAAAGTGAAGTGCAGGCAAAATACCTGCTTTGTTTCATGGTGGGACAGCTGAATTTGAAATTGCAGTTTGCTGGACCAATACCTACGCATCATGGTCTTAGAATAGGTATTTGTCTATATAATTCTATGCACATCGGTTGTAATACTGCTTTAAAAGCTACATTGGGCTTTTATCAAAATCAGGATGAGGCATCTGTCTGGCAGAGATGAATGGAGATAATTATGTAAGAGCAATATGGTGATTTTCTCCCCAGGGAAAGATGAATTGTTACCAATATCAGGGAAAGCAGCTTGCTTTATAAAATTACAAATTGTTTGTATTGTTTTTCATGATTATGTGATAGAATGACCATCTAACTGAATATTTGCTCCCAATATTTGCTAAATATAGGGAAAAACTGGGATTGTTCCATTTTGATCCACTAACTTTACAAGAATTTAACTTCTCTATGAATGTATTATTTTTTGGCATGAAAATAAACAAGCAACCTCTGATTAAATATATGCAAAAGCTGGCTATATTTAATGACTATTTTAAAGATCTGTTAAATTCACTTAGGTACCCTAACTTCTAATGGAAAAATAGTATTATGAGAGATATTTTCACATTATATTTGACTAACTTGTTCAGAGTAACATGTTGCTTATATTCAATAGAATTAATATAAAATCATTCTTTATATGCTGTGTAATTTTGACACATTCTGAAATCATTTGTTGCTAAAGGAAGATATCTTGATAGATTAACAGTTCATAGTGTAGTTTTAGTGCTGTAAAGTGTTGTTCTCACATTTCGTGCTTGTTCAGTAGAAAATATAGACAGAAGAAAAGAAAGGCAAGAAATAGAAGGCCGAGTGATGTAAGAGATAGCTATGCTCCACTGATATGCCTAGTCAGAGGTCAGTTACGAATTAGATCCGTAGAAAGGAATTATCCCCAAATTTCCCTATAGCATTATACTAAGTGTGGATTCGAAATATCGATAACTGCATACGGCAAATAGACTTCTGATCAATGTGTCAGCAAAACCAGGCACAACTTGTCGTGAAGAGATCCCGGCCATCAACTCAGCGATCCAAATCAATCTTTTTAAAAAAAAAAAAAAAATTAGGCGCAGATTTAGTTAATACTCCCGGTTCCAAACTGACAGTGCGGAGTGTCAAACGTAATGCAATGGGCACACATCAGGCAGGGCAGCAGAATCCACGCGGGATCCTGGGAGTTGTGTTACTGCCTTGTTTCTAAAGTTACCCTCTGCTTTTTCCATTCCATCTGCCGCGCCAGCCAAGGCGCTTCAATAAGAGCCGGAAGTAGGTAATGATACACAGCAATCGATCTAATATTTTTTTAAGTCGCGAGTCATTTAGTTCAGTCTGTGCGCCAGAGGCGCGAGTCGTTTTTTTTCCCCCTCACTCTATGGTTTGTCCTAGAGCGGATGTTGGAATTTCCGATTGCTGGACACGTCATATCCGGACGGTCCTGAGATGCCGGTAAGAAGCGATTGTCCCAGGAAAAGGCGAGAGTTTAGGCAGGCTCCCTCCGTCGCGTCTTTCCCGGCACGGAGAGAAAGGACGAGAGAGAACAGCCGCCGGGGGAACGTTCTCACGGCAGCGCGCCCGTTCCCTTCCTTTTCCTTTTGGGGAATCCAGTCTTGGGAGAAGCCGCTCTTCCTTCGCTGGTCTTCCTGTTGTGGTAGAGGCCTCGCCGGCCTTGGCCTTGCCGTAAGAGACCAGACGCCACGAAGGTCACTCTCTCGCCTCCCAGCGCCGGCCGAGTTTATCTTCACCGTACGTACCGGTAGATTTGGCTCCTTTTGTGGACCGGCTGCTGAATTCCCAAGCTGGCCTAGTAACTGACAGTGCCGTCAGCGTTTTGAGTGGCGCGTCCTGTTTAGCAATTCCTAAACTGCGTCCATGTACGAATCGCCTAAAACTGTTTAGACAAACAGGACGTAACCTGCTCTGAAATCCCTGAGGATAGTGGCGACCTATATAATTTGGCCGGGAGATGTCTTGCTTTGTACAAAGAAAAGGTCAGACTAATTTCCCAAAGAGTTAATGACCTGTCAGTGGTTGGAGACCCATGAAACATGAAGCCATTAATTCAAAGGCCACAGATAAGTAAGCTTAAAACAAACTTCATTTCATTTGTGGCTAAGGATTAAGGACACCGGCAGAAAGAAGAACTGAATCTGCGGTTTGTAGTAGATCATCAAAAATGTCATACTTCAGATTTAAAATAGCAAAACTGTACCCCTCCCTTTCCAAACCACCTCTCCAATTATGTTGCTGAAATGAATAAACCTTGTACAACCAGGATTGGAAGGATTGTGAATAGTTCTGTCATCTGAAATCTCAAAATTATTTAATTCCAAGTATTGGGGGGAGGGGTTTGTATCTGATTATTTTTAGTTCACAAGAGTTTTAGTATTTAATAAAAGTGTATCCTGTACCCATTAAATCTGCCCAGGATTCTTTTAATAATTCTTTAATGTTTAATGAAAATAAATTGCTGGTGATATTTGCTATTATTAGCAATCAAACTCAGTCCCTTGCTCTCTTATCCAGTTATCCAGTTATAGTCCAGGTTTTAATGTCAGATCCATAGATGTTGTATGGAATGTAATGAATTGTAATATAGTGAAGGGGGGGGGGAGAGAAACAATAGATAAAGTATGATCATTACCATGGCACTTATAAGTGGCATTTTCCTGAGGCCATCTTAAGCCTAGTGATATTTTTATTAGCAGTGACATGCAGAGAACTTAACCAAAGATGGCTGGTAGTCCTTGAATAGTTTTAAATATAGAAAAGTGTGATGCCATTACTGACAAAGGCTTCTAACTATAAATTGGAAACAAGGGAGAATGAATTTACATTAGTATCTTAAAAGCTGTTTTTTAATGTTTGGTTTCCAGGTTTTAGTTTCCAGAAAAACTTCTAATCCCTTAAAATGACTATTTGAGCAAGTAAATGTATTCAAAATCCTACAGTGAGCCATCGTTCAGAAAATATCTCTGGGAGAGAAATTTTTATCTAGGTCTTGATTCTAGTTAAAAGTGTACAGTGTAGAAATAGATACAGTTTTATAATAAGAAAACCGTCAGTTCAGTTATGCAGAGTATACATGTCTATGCTTTATAATTATTTATAATAATATAATGGAGTACTGTATACCTGTTATATAATTAGTTAATTTTTCTTCTTTTTTTCAGGTTATATTGAATTACTCTCTGTTATCTTCTCTGTTTAGATGATCCTCACTAGCCTGTGAGGCTGGAATATGTGTATAAACACAGTATAAACTGTTCATGTTGATCTCCTAAACGTATGCCTTACCTAGATCTACTTTGGGAGTTGGAAACTTGAATCGATGTTATCAGATGAGTTAGAGTCTAAACCAGAGGTTAGCATCAGATTTGCATTCCTGATCACTGATCACTTCACATTTTTGTACAGTGTTATACTCCAACATTACTCAACCAACTATATCTGTAAAGTGTCATTTGAAAGTATGTTGTTATAAGCAGTCAGTAGAGTAGCACATTTACTTAGGAATAATCTCCAAAGAATATAATGGGAAAAAACCCTAAATAAATTTATGTATACATCAGACATTTATTAGAAAGTTGCTCTTAGTGCCAGATGCAAAGTATTTTTCTTTCCATGGGTTATTTTTTTTTCTATAGAACTTGACTAATGAACTGGCATTTTGACAAATTGTTGCATTAAGAGTTTCGGAAACTATTAACAGTATGTGCTGGGGCTTATAGAAAGGAGCTTAAAAATACATACTGTAAAACATATACATACTGGAGATTAAAATGTTCAGTGCTGAAGGCAAGGTGTTAAAACTCTTGTATTATGAATTCTTCCTTAATATGTCTAAGGATAATATAATGGACAAGTTGTACTGAGAATTGAGTTGTTCTTAGTTTTTACAACTGCTGCTGAGGGATTTTATAAGAAATAAAATGTCTTTTATAAGAAAAAGTAGGCAGGTAATTGAAGGCAGGTACTTGAATTGTGTTCTATAGGATTTCTTCCAAAACAGCACTAGTAAACAACACCTGAGTTCAACTTTTTATATTTTATCCGATTACATATATTCAGTGTATAGTTTAATATATTATCTTTGCAGCAAATTTCCTCCTATGCTTCAATACGCCCTTCTACAAAGTTGCTAGTTGGTATGAATGTCTGTGACATCATCCCTTCCATGCCAAATATCATATTAAGGGATGGTTTCTATTGTTGTGATTGAGACCAGACTAATTCAGATGCTGATATTTTCTTTCTGTTGTGCTGCAAATATATCTTTGTGTACTCTTGAGGAGCTAGTAACTGTTAGCAGTACTGAATTTGATTCATTATATAGTTGCTTCTATATTTCTGTAACCTGCACTGCAAATAGAAAAAAAACCTTCCTTCTTGCTAATGTTTAGTGGGCTCTTCATAGCTGATGCTTGTTTGTTTTTTTTTAACGATATACTGCTTAAGCACATCACATGTAAATTGGGCTGCATTATGACTACAATCCCACAAAAGCTATTGGGTAAGTCATGTAGATTGCATTATGTACTGTTCATTAAAATTCAAGAATGGTTCTTACACAATAAAAAGGTAATATTGATAGTAAATATAGCCAGAGAACAAGACTGCAATATCAACTGCTGTTATCATGCATTGTTTAGCACAGGGGTGGGCAAATGTGGCTCTTTTACAACCTGTGGACTTCAACTCCCAGAATTCCTGAGACAGGTGCCCACCCCTGGTTTAGCAGAACAGTAAAATTTCAGAATTTTAATAGTTAATACTTGCATATGTAGAATGTTCATATTTTTATTATTGGTTCATCTTTGAATGATTAAATGTTATATTTTCTGCCTTTATGAAGTAATTATGCAGGTGTACTTGATAAAGTATTCCTGTTTTGCTATCTTTTGCAATTAACAAGAGAGGTAGTATTATATAAAAACATGTTGTTACCTTATTTACTTCTGCCTTAACATCTTTGTTTTGTATTGTTTTTTCAGTTGCTGGTTCAGTTTGTTCAGAACACATCTATCCCACTAGGACAGGGGCTTGTGGAATCAGAACCTAAAAATATTACCTGTCTATCTCTTCTTCCCGTTACAGAATCCCCACAATGCAACAGGTTGATATTGCCAGGTAAAAGCTGAAATCTGACAAATTCTAAAAATACTTTGCATTGTGTTGTGTATAATATCACACCTTTGGAGGATGCTGTAATTTTGAAGAAATCTATTGTGACTAGAATGTTTTTTTGGAAAACATTTATATAATATGCTGTATAAGTGGAAATTCAGCTTCCTTGAATGGTAATATCTGCAAGAAGCTGTTGGAGAGATCCTCTGATGGTTTGAGGTCTGGTATGCCAAATATACTTTACTTTCCGTCACAAGTCCAGGTTCTGCTGAGGATGCCAATGAAATCCTGCCTCTGCACCTGGAGGCTGTGAGTGTCTGGATGAAAGAGAACAGGTTGAAATTGAAGTCTAGAAAAAATGGAGATGTTGTTTGCACATTAGGGTTTTCTTCTGACTCCGGTGATTATTGATCACTGGTCCTGGACTTGTGGCAATTGTTATAACAGCAGGTGGAGCATTTTTCGGAAGGGGGGAGTTGTTAGGGTTAGGGTTAATCTAGCTTTGAATGATGCATCAGTCCTGGCTTTCCTTGGATAAGAGGACCTTGTGACTGTAACTCATACCTTACGTCTAGACTACTGCAATGGCACTGACTTTAAGAATCATAGGAAGCTTCGGTTAGAACAGTATTGTCAGTATTACCCAGAGACAGCTCTATTGCAAGTCCTATGTTGGTGGCCATAACTCTTGGTGCAATTTAAAATGCTGATATTAACCTTTGAAGGCCTTTATGGCTTGATGCCAGGAGTGCTTTGCTTTTCAGGATCTGGCTCAACCATTATAATTTTGTTAGAGGAGAAGTAGAAAGGGAGGCTGATGCTCAAAACATTTCTTGCTGCTGCTAGTAGTGGCCCTTATAATATTCTCCTGCGTGAAGTTAGATCTCCCCTCTGTTGGCCATGTTTCAAAAATGTTGGGGACCAAATTCTTCTGGAGGTATTTGGTTCATGATGTGTTTTCATATTTGTATTATCGTGTTTCTCTGAAAATAAGACCTTGTCTTATATTTTTTTGAACCCTGAAATAAGCGCTTTGCCTTATTTTCTGGGAGGTCTTATTATTTTGGGGCGTGTGGAGCAAGACGGGGCTCCTCTTGCCGTCTTACCTGATTTCCAGCTCTGTTTCCCTAACCCTAACCAGAGGAAATGGCGGGGACTGGCTGCGCATGCATTTAAATATTTTTGGGAGGACTTATTTTCGGGAGAGGACTTATTTTCGGAGAAACACAGTATTTTTGCTTTATTGTATCTAAGCCTCTGAGAGTCTGTTGAATTGTAGAAATTAGATAAATAAGATATGACATAAGAGAAAATTCTAGCATATTTACCATAATTAATAGTGTGTGTGATCCCAAGGACACTGGCTTTAACATTGATTTTATAATAAATGTACTGATGGCTCTAAGTTAGATGCTTTTTAAACTTTCAGATGATTCCCCAAACCATATTCACTCTTCCAAGCATGCTTCTTCTTCGGCTGTTCTGCGAAGTCTCCAAGTAAATGTTGGCCCTGATGGTGAGGAGACAAGGGCACAAACAGTACAGAAACCACCTGACCTTCTTCCAAGTCCTGATACTTCTACCTTATTGCAAGATCTTCAGCCTGGTGATAACACTTCCTTTATTCTCCTCAATTTAACCCGGACAGGTAATTACCATGTAGATAGACCACTTTCTACTATTAAGAAACAAGATATAATATTTGAGATTCACTGCTTTGAAAAGTATGGTGAAATTTTTCACATAAAGCAGTGTGGAGCAGTATATGTCTAAATGCTAACAAGTAGTTTGGCTTATCTTGGTTATTACTTAAGATAACTTCTTCTCTAGGCCTAGGGTCTTCTTCAGAACACCTGGTATTTGTCCAGGATGGAGCAGTTGATTCTGGGAACAATTTCTTTGCGAATAATAGTACAGACAGCAGTACCCCATGGTTTTTACGTGTACAAGAACTGGCTCATGATAGTTTGATTGCTGCCACCCGAGCACAGCTCGCTAAGAATGCCAAAGCAAGCAATAATGGTAAGTTGATATTTTTATTACTCCCTTTGCAAAGATATAAATTAAAGCAGTTCAAGATACTTTCCGTAGAACATGGGTGTCAAACTGGCAGCCCGGGGGCCGGATGCGTCATGCACAGGCCACGCCCATCCCAGCTCCACGAAGGAGAAAAAGGTTGTGAAACGTCATGTGATGGCAACGTGATGCCTTGAGTTTGACACCTATGCTGTAGAATAATTACTCATGTTTTTTTGTATTAATATTTCTTTGTAACACTGCTTCTGAAAATAACTTTTATAGCAAATGTTACATTTCCTTAAAAAAATTGGAATGTTATTAACTAGAAAAGCAGTAGTGAACAGACTTGGTGTTAAAAAATATATCTAATTTTACTAGCTTGCGTCACTAAATATTTTTTATTTGTAGACGCTGTTGTCTAATTGTAGGATTTTTCTTTCCAGGGGAAAATGTTCATGTTTGTTCAGGAGAATCACAGCCGAAGGAATCCAGCCCCATTCCTCACTTACCCCGGGTAGAAAAAAAATTGCAGTGCACTGTTGAAGGCTGTGATCGAACATTTGTATGGCCAACTCACTTCAAATATCATCTAAAAACCCACAGGTATACAGTCTGGCTAAACCTGAAGTTTTACCAGGGTTCCACATGTTTTATATATATTAATCCATCATATAACTGATTTCTCCTTTAGAACACTTCATTTGGGGTGAGTTGGTCAAAGTAAGAGAGCTCATCTCTATTTTGTAAGCTCATCCAGATCATTTTTTAAATATTCACTTAGGTTTGAAAGAACTGGCAGCTGCTTTGAATTGTAATTCATTGGCCTGAATTAGATTAGTATTGCTTTTATTATATGTATGCCCAAAAGGAAACATATCAGCCAAATAAGTGGAAAGACAGGCAACTGGTAAAAGAATATGCCCTTTATGATAGCAAAACTGAATACATTTCAAGGAATTCTGATTCCCTTCCTCAAAGAACTAGAAAAGCAATTGAAATAACATTGTCAATAGGAAGAACTCCTTTAACATCTTCAGTGATTAGGAATTTCTGAGGGCATCTGGATTTCTTTCCATTTTCTATAACTTAACATGTAGTGTTTCTCTAGGTTGCACTTTCAGTGAATGCATTCATCCTAGCTCTTTGGTTTTACTATTTCAGCTTGCTGCTTTTTATTACATATCTGGTGTTTTTTAAACTGCCATTATTTTTCTAGTTGATTGGGGGTTTTTTATATTCCCTTTATATTTGTTTTATGATTTGCCCAGTTTTGGTATCTTATGTGTTCATTATTTTTATCTAGTTGAAAGCCTAATCTACTTATATAGCTTGGGTTGATCTTTCATTAAGAAATTATGTGTTTTACTCACTTCATTGATCATCTTATTTATTTGTTTGTTTCATTTTTAAAAATATTACCCTTCCTTTCTTTTGAGGTACATACATTTGTGTTTGTCCTGTATGTATTAATCTGTGTTGTATGTGTGCTTTACAGTTGTAACTTATTTCATATGTTGTGAATACATTACTTGTTTTTTAATCTTTTGAGACATTCCCTCAAAAAGTATTAGTTTTAATATAATAAAATATCTTTCCTTCTGTTACAATTTCTTCTTTACTTTCCATTAACTTTTTGATAAAAATGTGACATCATATTTTAAACAAAAATTTCTTTTTAATATTGGTTGGTTTTTTTATATTAATTAGTGAGAGTAATACTGTTTTCCAGGAATGATCGCTCCTACACATGTCCAGCAAAAGATTGTGGGAAAAGCTTTTATGTTTTACAAAGATTGAAGGTGCACATGAGAACACATAATGGTGAGAAACCATTTATTTGCTCTGAACTAGGCTGTGGAAAGCAATTTACAACAGCTGGGAATCTGAAGAATCATCTGCGAATTCACACTGGTATGTTCTTTCAATCTTTTCTGGAAAAATACTTTTCCTTCATGAATATATTTATGACCCCCTTTCATGAGATGCTGTAAAAGTTTGGATATATATTCTCACCAGTAAACATGGCTCTTTTTTTCAGTCCCACAAAAAGTTTAGGCAGGTTCACAGAAAAAGGCTAATGATCAAATTGCAAGATGATCCTGGCAACAGTGGGCTTTGTGATGAATATCTTTAGATGAAATAGACTATAGTAGAGGAAAAACATTGCTGGAGAAGGTGGATTTAAACATAGAAGGAAAACAGAAGTATTTTGTGGGCAGATATGGAAGATTCACTGGCAAGATTCAAAAATTTATTTCTGGTTGTAAGCAACCTATGGTATAAAACAAAATATCCCAATGCAAGAGAGAGAACCCATTACTGGTTATTTGTGTGAGAAATAATGCAGATCAGAAAAGATCAGAATGTTTGCAGTGATAAACTGTAGTATGTGAGGGGAGAGTGAATTAACCAGGAAAGGAATTTCTGTGAAAATTAGACTTATTTTAAAAACAGCCTAGGAATTCTTTATTAAAAGATAAGCATTATATTGCACTATTTTGAAAATAAGGGTAATGTTGTCATAACATATCTTTCTGTGCATGTCAAGTATTCTTTTTCTTCAGGCATTCTGAATTGATTATGTGAGTGATTATGGGATTCCATTTAAGAATATACCAAGAATTAAAAATTGAACGTTGTGTATATTGTAAAGATATGGGTAACAGAACATACCACAGATGATATAAAAACTGTACTATCAAAATCCATACAAATAAATTACTGTTTTCCATTTACATGGTCTTTTAAAAAATGAAGCAAATAACCTAATTATAATTTGATATAACACAGGGGAAAAGCCTTTTTTATGTGAGGCCCAGGGCTGTGGTCGTTCCTTTGCTGAATATTCCAGCCTTCGGAAACATCTAGTTGTCCATTCAGGTAAGGACATTTTATTTCTTCAGATGAAATTCACAGACCAGAGAGTATTTATTGGAGGTAGTTGTATAATTTTTAGATCCTATTCCAGGGTCTCTCCTTTTTCTTTTTAATTTCGCTAGCTTATTCATATTGTATCTCACTCAGTCTTCCAGCATGTAAAGTCTCATCTAGTCCAGACCCACATTTGGTAGATTAAAGTTTACAGATCATACAGATTCACAATTCCAAATTATGAACATTTTCTTGCAAAAAATGCTTTGAACTTGGCAGCCTTTGTAGAGCTAATACTTTATATTGACTGAATTTTACTGATATCAATCTGTTAGACCCATAATAAATATTTAACTTTGTGTTTTACATGTTTTTCTGCCTTGTTTCAGGACTAAAGCCACACCAATGTCAAATTTGTGGGAAGACGTTTTCTCAGAGTGGTAGTAGAAATGTACACATGAAGAAACATCATTCGAGGGTTGAAACAATTAGCAATAGGCAGCATGAGCAAACAGGTAAGGACTAAAATAGAAAAACCTAACACGAGTTCCCCAAATATTGGTAGGAGATTGGATCCATAGAAATACCAGGATTAATGGATTGGTGACAGTTAACCCCCTTGAGCATTTGACTAGGAATTTAGGTGAGCTTTGTGGCTTTATGTTTTGCTGCTTACAGCTTTAACCAGGGCATTATGGATTTATATTCTTACAGTAGTTTTAAATTTTTATGCCATCCAGAGTCAAGTGGCTCTATAAATAGTATCATTAATTAATTAAAGTGGCAGGATAGGGTTCAAAAACAGTGCAAGTTTATTCCATGCAACCTATACACAAGAATCTGGTCTACTAACAGTTAAAGCAAATTGGTGGGGGGCTGGACTTAGGTCTCTTCCAGGGGCGTAGGGACTCCAGACTGATGATACGTTTGATCTCGCCTTTTGATTCAGCCTGGTCATTTCCTACAATAAATAAATTAGGGCTGAGTTGGGCAGGAAATCGTAGCGTAATTGCCCCTTTAGTACTTAATCCTAGTCCAAATGCTTTAGAAATATTTCTAGTTGATTAATATTGCCACCTGAACAAAGTAAACAGAGGTTATATCTATCAGTTACAGTTGCAGGTAGCCCTTGACTTATGACCACGGTTGAGCTCAGAATTATGGTTGTAACTCATGGCGGTTGGTAAACTAGGTGTCCACATGATCGCCTCTTTTAATGATCCTTTGTGGTCATTAAGTGGAACCCAGGCTGCCTTGAGGTGGGGGAGCCTGGTACAAGCCCAGGCCCACACTGCAGTACCTCCCCAGGTCTTTTCTCTTATATTACTAAGCAGAATAATACATAGTAATACATATATTACTAAGCAGAATAATGCACTGATCACAATTTTTAGTTAATCTAAATCTGGATATTATTACATTATTTACTTACTGTATTTTTCGGAGTATAAGATGCACCAGAGTATAAGACGCACCTTAATTTTGGGGGAGGAAAACAAGAAAACAAGAATTCTACCTCTGCCTACCAGCATTTAAGGTGGCACTGCTTTACGCCGCCCTCCTCCTCCTGCAAGCGAGAGGTGGCTCAGAGACACGGCTGTGAAAGAGGGTGTTGATTACTATAAGTTCTTTTCCAGAAAACTTATCAGGGTGTTCCTGCGATCTGCAGGGACTACTCGCTTTCTCCCAAAGAGACCCCTCGCATGCTCTGGGGGGAGGGAAAGAGCACAGCCTGAGGAACAAAGCTCTTTAGGAGGTTTCACTTTAGGAGCTCCCGTTCAGCTCGCTCGGCTCCTGAGCGCGGAAAGGGCTTAGGCAGCAGCAGCAGCGGCTCCCCACATTGCTGGGGAGTGAAGTCATTGCGACCATTGTCTGCTCTAAGCTGCCTGCTGGGCGGCCAGAGGGGTGACCTGCTGCAAACCGTGGGGCCTGCCTTGTTCCTCGAAGCTGCCGGGCAGATTCCTCCCCCCCCAGACCATCCCAAAGAGGTTTGTTCCTCAGGCTGTGCCCCGACCCAGATCCCCGCCGCCTGGAACTGCCCAAAAATGTCTGAAGGGTGGGGGCCGGCGGGTGAGCGGGGCTATATTCGGCGTATAAGACACACCCAGATTTTCACCCCCTTTTTGGGGGTAAAAAGGTGCATCTTATACTCTGAAAAATACGGTATCTTCTTGGAAAAGATATTATAGATGTTGTTTCTTCTTAGGAAATGTTACGTTTGAATATGTGTCCTTTTTCCACTTGTGTACCTTCTATCAAAAAAAAGTTGGTTCTTGGTTGCTGGGCCTCATTTCTCATTTCATTTCATTTCATTTCATTTATTAGATTTCTATACCGCCCTACTCCCGAAGGACTCAGGGCGGTGCACAGCCAAACAATAAAAACACATACAATACAAAATTTAAAAAATAGAATAAAATCAAATTAAATAATTTTGGCCCCGACAAATTTAAAATCCCAAACTTTTAAAACCAATTTAAAATTGAATATATAAATACTAAAAGATGTTTAAAATTTTAAAAATCTTTTATAGAAGAGGGGGAAAATTAGGCCAGGCCGGCCTGGTGAAATAGTAAGGTCTTTAAGGCGCGGCGGAAGGTGCGCAGATCCGGGATCCTCCGTATCTCTGGGGGGAGCTCGTTCCAGATAGTAGGTGCCCCCACAGAGAAGGCTCTCCCCCTGGGGGCCGCCAGTCGGCATTGTTTGGCTGACGGCACCCGGAGGAGCCCCTCTCTATGGGAGCGTACCGGCCGGTGGGAGGCTATTGGTGGTAGTAGGCGGTCCCGCAAGTACCCGGGTCCTAAGCCATGGAGCGCTTTAAAGGTGGTAACCAAAACCTTGAAGCGCACCCGGAAGACCACCGGGAGCCAGTGCAGCTCGCGCAGGAGAGGTGTTACATGGGAACGCCATGTCGCTCCCATTACCACCCGCGCAGCCGCACTCTGCGCCAGTTGGAGCCTCTGGGTGCTCCTCAAGGGGAGCCCCATGTAGAGAGTGTTGCAATAGTCCAGAACTACTCATACTGGTAGTTCTCGCTTAATCACCATAATTGGGACTGGAATCATAGTCATTGAGCAAATCAACATATCATGATTGCTTTACTTGACAAACATGACCCTAAATGTCTAGAGTTGGGTCATTAAGCAAATGCATGGAGCTAAATTCTTGTGTCCTTGCTTCATTATGCCTGTGGAGCTGGAGGCAGAGAGAAGCAGATAAAGCACAGAGAGGCAGGGAGACAAGGATTTTAGCACACTGAAACTCTGCACAGTTACGGAGAGGTAGGGAGCTTTTAACATGTGCTAAAATCTGTGTACAGGCATAGAGAAGTATGGATCCTTGCCAAAATCCTTGTCTCTTTGCTTCTCCACTGACTTTTCTGGCGAAGCTGGCAGAGAAGATTGCAAATGGCAATCATATGATTGCAGGGTGCTTGGCAACTGGTCACAAGTGAAACATCACAATCAGCTGACCATAAAGGCCCTAAAGCACCCTTCTGAGGCTGTTGGTAATTCAAAAGCTGGTTAAATGAAGACTAAATATGCCCTCTCGACATTGTACTCAGTATCATTGGTTTAGAATGTATGTCCAGTCCTGTTTCCTTCTGCATGATTACTTTAATCAGTCATGTTTGCAGAAGAATGGATCGTTTTGGCACAAGATTTCACTGAACATATCATTAGTCATGTACTGAGTGTGTTGATAAAAGTTATTTTTCTGCTGAAACATAGATGCTCTTGTGTTTGAGTAGGCTGTTTATCCTTCCATGGCATGTCTCTTCAATGGCTTAAACAGCATTCAAACAAATGACATCAGAGTAGTTACGGATTGCAAAAATGGATACATTTTTAATAAAAGTAAAATGTATCCGAATAAAGTATTGAAATTTTATGGCTTTAAAATTTAATTTGTGAAAGTGAAGTTTTTGTTTCACAAAAAGTCATCTTTGAAGAACACTAATCTTACTTAGTTATAGTCTCCTTATGAAAATCCTTATGTTTGAATTACACATACATCAACATTTACCTGTTGCTACCACCCCCTCATCCTCTATGCTTCACAAAGAAAATCTTGTAAGGATGAGTGCAACGCAAATGTTCTGTATTCAGATTTGTGAGTAATAATATAATCCTCTTTTCTGGATTCTAAAATAATGTTGCAGACCACAGTAAATTAATCATGTGATGGCTTTTTGTTTTTAAACCCAGAATCACTGATGGGCAGCAGTTTGTTGGAAGAATCTGAATTAGACAGTAAGAGCCTGGTGTCAATGAATTCTCCATCTAGCCTTGTTGAATCTTTGCATTTGCCAGATCCGGAATCAATCATTGGTGTAAAAGAAGGTGAGAAAATGTTTCTGTCTAATCTAAAGGAAGCCCTGTATGAAATGAAATGAAAGATAAAAATAGCTCTTGTGTTTTTAATGTATAACGTAATTTAATGGAGTTAACATGGAATACAGGCAAATACAGCACAGAAAGGTGAACCATAAGGTAAGAAGGGGTGGATTTTAAAACTTCCTTGATAATTGTATAGTGATAGTGGAATAATTTTGAGTTGCCAATTTTATTCCATGTCCTTTTGAGAATCTGATAAGAAAAGAACCATGTGTCAGGGTTCCGATGATTTTCTTACAAATGTAATATGTACCTTGAAAGCAGATGTCTCATCTTAAGCCTGGATGCTTTCTTATTTGGGATGATCATTTCATATTATGTAGTATCTTACAATTCATAGGACTGAAGTGTGAGCTTCAGTGGAATCCTTAAATTCAGTCATTATTTCATATTCTGAAATCCTGGGAGACTTTGGTGTTCCTGCAAGAGATCTTACATGATTTCAGGCAAAAATGTTGAGATACAAGACAAGTGGTAGGAGGGATGTTTGTTTATTATCCAACAATGACTCTAGGTGGCGAACAGTGATTAAAAATAAAAACAGCCACATATAAAATGTTAAAATACAGAGCAGCTGAGAAGAACAGTAGTCATTTCATATCAGCAGACAGGGCCCAGGGCCTGAGCAGAGAACCAGGTCTTTAGGGACTTATTAAAGACCAACAGAGTTGGGATAAGCCTGATCTCCAGAAGGAAAATGTTGCAGATGGCAGGCGTTGCAGCAAAAAAAAAAAAAAAAAATCAAGTGTTTTGAGCCTTGCCAGCTGAGATTCTACAGCCAACAAAACTTGGAGTATTCCCATCCTGCTGGATCAGACAGGATAGAGAGAAACAAGCAGGGGTATGATCAATGCCTTCTCAGTATCATACCCAGACCTTTATTCCTACTAAAAGGGATCCAGAAAATCTGTTTCTTCTTGAATATTTTGAAGCTTCAGTATGATCACCTTCTCTATAGTCTTCCCTAACAAGGGAAGATTGGACACTGGAAGAAAATTTTCCAGACTAGTTGGGTTAAGCAATGGCCACTTGAGAGGGGCAACACCATCTCAAGAGCTAGTGCGAAGGAAGAATTAACTATTGTCCAAACCCAACCACACGTCCTCTGCCATGTGGCCTTAATTAATCAGGAAGGGCATAAATCTAACCCAGAAGTAGCTGAACTGACAGCTGTGAGAACCTTGACCATATCCTCAGGGCTTAACAGGATCAAACTTTTCCCAGATAACCATGCAAGACTCAGCCCCCATAACCTCCACTGGTCCTGCTTCCAGCTGGAGTCCCAACAGAGAGCAGTTTTATCTGACAGATTCCTGGCAGATTCCTCACAGCAACCTTGTATTGAACCTCATAGCTAAACCCTCTTAGAAGAGCCAGAGTCACTCAAAACAAGGCTGCTAGAGACCTATCTGCAGACGTAATAAGGGTCAAGAAGCATTTTATATTTTGCCACTCTTACCACCATAAGGTTGGCTCAAGCAGTGGATCTAATCCATGTTTGGTTGGGTTTGGTTCTTTGTTGTCTGCCAGAAGTATCTCTTCCCTGCTTCATCTCATTAAGCTCCTCCATAAAGCAAGAGAGTTCTGGGATCCACAGGGGAAGAAAGGCTGCTGAGGTATGGTAAGATTCCAATTCCCAGAAGACCATGAGGGCTTTGGTGAAACCATTCAGCAGACCCTTCAGAGCGTAGTACTCTCTGAAATCCATTTGACTCCATTAGTTGCCTGGAGATGACTAGTCCAGTAAGTCCAACCTCCCTGTGGTGGGTGGTGATGTCAAAGAATTACAAATCTACCTGAGAGTCTGTCCATGACAGAAGAAAAGCCAGTGTTTCCCCCAAATTCAGAATACCTTACCACTGCTCCAAAAGAAGAAAAAAACAGGTCAGGCATATGACGGCTGTTATGTGTTGTATATGATGTTGCATAAGAGAGCATTGAAATCTTGCAAAACGTTGCCTGTATAATAAATTGTTATGTTAGTATTCCTTTATTTTTTAACTGGAACTCTCATACATTTTTTCTAACTTTGCTTTACTGTATTTACACGGTACATGCTGTACCAGTAGATTGAGAATTTTTAAAGTATCATTTATTTTTCTGCTTGATTTGTAGAGGTTCTAGCTGAAGCAGCAGTAAATTCTCTTCATGATGTATCTGATGTGGTTTTGCCATCTCATCATCTGATGCCCATGTCAACATCAAGGCACTCTTACGGCGTATCATCCTTACTACAATAAATTCTTAGGTCTGAAGGTTTCTGTTTTGAAAAATGTAGTGCTAGTCCCTTTAATTTCAGAAAATATTTGCTCCTGTGATTGAAGGTAAGAAATTTGCATGTTTTTCTACTGGGGAACCAGACCATTCTAAAGTGCACATATCCTTCCCACTTTGCTCAGAGGGTGAAGTTAGAAAAAAAATCTAATTTCAGTTCCTGTGGGATAGGAGAATTCCCTTTTCCAGTTCCAGCTTTTCTTGCTTCAGAAAGCATGCATGCCTACATTTTTCATCTGTTGTCCTTATGGCAAAGATGACCTCAGCCAGTGATTTCTGTTATTTTTACATTTTCCTTTGTTTAGTATTTTTTTCCTTACCAGTTTGTTTCAGGAGTGCTGACCTAAGCAATAGCAATGAATTATGAATTGTGAATCTCCCAGAGTCATCTGCAGATATGGGCGGCTCTAGAAATCAAATAAATATATAAATAAATATCCTAGGATTTTTCTGACTGGGACTTAACTTCCAAGTATACATCCAAGTGACATATGTCTGCCTTTCCATCGTGATTCTCTGAGAAGGGCAATATCCTTGCCCCTGAATCGGTGGCCATGGACAACTCACTTTTAATAGCTGGGACGTCCTTTGGGAAGTTGAAGAATAGGCACTGGAATGTTGAAAGTTCTTCACAAAGGGAACACATCATTAGAAGTAACTTTGCCAAGCAGTATCCCTTTTCAAAGACCCAATGAATTTTTAATCCTCAGAGGATCCTGGGAAATCCATGGCTCCTGTGGAGCAGACTTATACCCAAGATCTCACATCTAGGAAGAACAAATGGCAAGAAGCTCAATTTTGGAGACTTCCCTCACCCCACCCCATTTGGCTAAAGGAAGAGCATTTCCACTCCTTCTTTGGTGGAGCTGTATCCTGACTACTTCAGGGACTAGTACCAGACTACTTTTGTAGGCAGAAAAGGCAAGTCATTAATTGGGAAGTCCTCCATAATGCCACTTCTGACCTGAATGCTTCCTTTCAGACCTAATGAGAAAGAGGAAGCAGATCTGTCTCTGGATATAAGGAAGAAGACAGTGGCTGTTCCCTGAGTTTTGCAGTCTATTCCAAAAATCTACTAGTCAGTAAATTCTTCAGGACCCTAAACCTAAAAGTCCAAAGCAGTCTATTCCCATTGGTATCTACTGGCGGCCAAGTTCTGTGTTTCAGGAGCCTTTTCAAGCTAGACCAGATTCGAAAACCAGTTATGAATACTAATATTACTTTTATTATACGGCTATAGTAACAGAATCTTACAAGTCTGAATGCTCATGCTCCCTCCCCCCATTTATTTATAAGATAACTAGGGAGGACCAAACTTGAGACATTTTCTTGAATTATATTTCCGCCTTGGACTGTGTGTGTGAGCGTGTGTGTGTGTGTGTGCACACGCACACACATGCAGTCATAGTCTTGGTTGAGGTTTTTACCATTGGTTACTCATATACCCCTTTTACTATCATACACTGTGGCTAGTGGCCTTCCCCAGCTTCCCTTCCCTGAAGTATTCAACTGTGTGCATGGGAAGTGTGAAGAGAATGCAGGAAAAATAAATTTCTCTTTGGCCACCAAACTCTGTACTTTCCCTCATGCAGCAGTCCTCCATAGCAGAGCATATATGCTAAAGGTAAGGACCCCTTCAAACAGTAAGAGGACAGGAAAGTGGAGGTTCTGTAACACAGAAAACACGAGGCAACAGCTTAGCCACCCTCATTTATTATTTTGTCATTTATCATCGGTTGGATAAAACAGCATTTAAGTTCATACTTCTAGAGCATAGGTAGCTCAAACAGGATCTGAATAAATTAGCCAAGGCAGTTACCTTCATGGCTGATGTGAATTTAGACAGTGGTCAATTCTTAACCAGAGACTTGCTTGCTAAAATGGCTACTTTTTGTCTCTAAATCTGTTATATATGGCTCATTCAAATATGGCAAGCTATTCAGAAACTCCCTAGATAATGTGCTAATTGAGATTAAGTTTAAAAATACAGTCCTGTCTGATAATCAAAGTTATCAGCCCCCATGAAATTATTTCACCCAATTTTTCAACAATCAAACATTAGCTGGCACTGAAGTCCAGAAACTAGTTCCAAGTCCTACAAGTTGAGACATTCTTCCATTCTTGTACCATATTGTTCATTGTTCCAATTAAAAATGATGGCACATCAACCTGGATCTCAAACAAATGAATCGCCACATTAAGTACTATCTTTTAAATCTATGATATAGTATCTTAAGAAAAAAATGCCCTGTGTAGGACATTTTGCCCTGCAAAATGCTGTCTAGGTGATCTGCAAAGCCAGTCACCATTGATTAAATAGGGAAAGAGGGACAACCATACCATGTTGCAGATTCAAGGAACTGGGCTTCTTAATAAACAGAGACAATAACACTCTTCACTTGGCATACATACATAATATATATGTATGTATAACATATATATATACCGGTATATATACATATATATATATATGAATAAATAAGATGCATTGACACTCATTTCATTAGAACTGCAACTACCTTGGTTGCCCTTGATAGTAAAGCCTACCTGGAAGACATCTATAGGGCTGCAATATTTTTGTCTTCCATATAGGTAGTCCTCAATTTACAACAATTCATTTAGTGAGTTCAAAGTTACAATGGCACTGAAAAGTGATGTGAACGTTTCCCACACTTATGACTGTTGCACCATCACCATGGTCACATGAACAAAATTCAGACCCTTGGCAGCTGACTCATATTTTTGATGGTTGCAGTGTCCTGGGGTCATGTGATCCCTTTTGCAACCTGACAAGCAAAGTCAATGGGGAAGCCAGTTTCACTTAACAACCATGTTACTAATTTAACATTCACTTAACAACTGTTGCAAGAAAGATTATAAAGTGGGGCAAAATGTCTCACATAGTAACAGAAATTTTGGGCTGAATTGTGGTCATAAATCGAGGACTATGTGTAACTCTTACACCTCAGTAAAGCACTCCTCAACAGGAAGATACTAAAAGAAATAATTCTGAGCAAAGACTGCTTCCTGGGACATGATCATATCTCCAGTGACATCTTTGATATACATCATTCCACTTTAAAATGTGCTGGTTTTACTGTAGGGAAATCCACATCAGACTCATGTCCTTATCGTAAAGACATGGTGTTCGGTTCAGCAAGAAAAGAGGTAGTCATCAATATTTGCATTCTATATGGAGTCTTATGAAACTTTCCTGTATTACTTTTTGTGGAGTCCCTTTCTGGCTTGGTATTCTAAACTGAGGAAGGGATCTTTTATTTTTCCCCCAAGAACTGAGATTGGAAATCTACTAGCCCCCTTTCTGAAAGAGTGGGAAGAGATACCCACTTCAGAATGCTCTGTCCTCACTGTAGAAGAAGGATCTTCATGGTAAGTTAAAGAAATGAAATGAAAATTAATTTGGTAATCTGATCTATATAATAACTAGTATTTCCAGGATGCATTAGCAACTATTTCTTTCAGCTTGGATGGATCTCTAATTTCAGGTGGGTTATGTTGGGATGGCTTTAAGTTTGGAATATGCACCACCCAAAGTGGTTTTGAGTCAGCATTATAAACTTACTTAAATGAAAGCAAAAGAAAACATATATATAGACATTCTGGGTTTTTTTTACTCAGATTGTTCAGGAAATTAATACAACATAATACATTATATTAGATGAACAAATTTTTTGTTCAGTTTCTAAATTTGGATAGAGAATTTGGCCAAAAACTGGTTTTCAGTGTTTATTTAGAAGGTAAATGCATAGTAAAGTCTGCTGCAGGAAGAAGTGCAACCTGTTGGGAAGAAAGTAGCATTTGAGCATCTGGCTCCTTCTCAACTTACATTTTGGGCAGGGGTCCCAAATTCTTCAGATCATCAACTTCTTCATGAAATTTCAGATTGTTCATCAATCCCAAACATTCATTATATGAAAATAATAAGTACTTCTTTAATAGTACTATGAATAACTAAAAATACTACAAATAATAACAGCAACAGTAGGTAGTCCCATCAACTCTCGGGGGTCAATATTGACTACTTTGAAAAATCATGGTCTTGGATAACAAGAAAGGTTGCAGAGATTGACTACCATCCTATTGTTTCACATTTTCTATACTGGTAAAATAGTTTAATTTTAAAACTATGAGATAAAATGATTCAGTATTGAACTGAAATCTGTGCTACAGGTATTAAGAAGTAAAATGAATGCATTTATTTTACAGTTACAGAAGAACAGCAAATCTGTGACACTGAATATATGATACTATATGAAGCTAAAGAACAGGCTTTTCAAGTTGACATTTAAATTCCTGGAATTTGTGCAGTGTCTCCAGTGTACTTATGACATGGTGGAGCAGAGGCCTGGACTATGGTTTTGCTTCAGTCAGTGAAAAAAAACTTTGTTTTCTAAGAGAGGATGGAACAGCAGCTATTAATTATGAATTTAATATTTAACCTGGTGTCCAAAAGCCAGGAGATAATGTTCTTGTACCTAGTTTAAAGCCAGATTTTTTTTTCTTTTTTGAAGTGACCATAAGCTCAACATTATAATGGCTTGTTCTTGGAGAAATATCTTTTAAGTAGTAATAAATTCTGCACTTTGGTGTGGCAGTTCTGGTTTTGCTTCTTATTTATAAGGGCAGTTGGTGGTACTTTCATCGGGAATTTTTGCCTTCCCATGCTTTGTGTGGATATGTTTACTAACATTGCTTTTGGTCCAAACTGAAGATCTCATACTATTCAGAGTATTGCTTCGGTCACACTTGGTTCTTGCTGTGATATTTTAATATCTAATTATTAGGTTTAATAGATTTTTTTTTGTTTTTAAAAAAAATCAAAGGTAGAAATTATTCAGTGGCATTCTGTTGTAAATAAACTATATATTTCCATTCTCAATATGGTTGCATGTGTATTTATTTGGTGGCTTTTCGAATACACTTTGCATTACAAAGAGGTTCAAAATGAGTAACAGCTTTAAAAACACAATGCAGTTATATGCAATATAAAACATTAACTGTGACAGACTACATTAATGCAGGTTTCCAGGAAGAAGGGCACACATTCCAAGTGGGGAGAGGTGAGGTAAGAGACAGCCCAGTTCAGAGCTGAATCCTGGGAAGAGGAAATGATTTAGTATAGATAAATCCCTAATATTTTCCACAGTATAGCCGTTAGGGTAGGGTAGTAAGGGTAATAAGGTAGTAAATCTAACAAGAATATATATATGGTGTAAGCAAATGAATGGAATTTTGTCTGGATTATGTTACATTGCTCTTGGACTAGGCCAGACACTAATGGAACATTAAAATATGAAATGATACACTGACTCAAAAAGAAACAGCATTTAAGAGAAGCACTCAGTGGTCCCTAAATTCTTATCCAATTAATAAAGACTTGGTGTACCTCAAGAACATACTTGAGATGGGAAAAAGTGGGATGCAGTACAATTATTTAGTGAAGTGTTCTTGGCTAAAGCCCACATGCGTAAGGCTGTAATTTGAAAAAGACTACATTTAAGTTTTCTGTCTTGATACTAAAGCCTTTGAATCTACATTAAACAATTTTTGTCTTCACATTAAATTATGCAAATTTTAGAAGGCATCTAGGTCTTTTGGTTGAAAGCAGGTAAACTCACTGCGATTCTATAAAATTTTGCTCATTTTTTGAAACTTATCTAAAAGGTCTGCCAAGTTTTTGAAAAAGGTATTTAAATTATAAACAAGGAAAGATCTAGAAGAAACAAGGTAATAATGTTTTCTGGAAGGCTCACTTTTCCCAGTTGTCTGTGCATGTTAGAGATTATTGTTGGGATTCATTGTTATTTCGGTTGTTAGGCATCAATTGGCTTGTGGGAAATGAGCATTTTGTGACTAGCCTTACTTATCAATGGTAGCAATTTTAAATGTGTCTTTAACTTTCAAATGTGTTCTCTGGTTCAAACTGATTGGGATGACTGGTATATATACAACTCCTTTCATCCTCTTGGCAATCTTCATTTAAGCAAGATCTCAAAAATCTAGCATTAGTCAAATTTAAAACTGCCTCAAGTCATATTGCTAACTAGAATACTTCAAAGTCATGTATTCTAATATAATTCATATATATATATATATATATATATATATATATATATATATATATATAATTAAAATATACAATTTAGCTTCAGTTCTGCAGAAATCCTCGATTAAAGAAAATATGCTGAAAGCAAATGGAGACTTATTAGTTGTTTCTACTTTAATTCCAATCTTTTTAGTCCCTCTTGGGATAGCTGTTTTACGATGTCAGCCTCAGTACCGTTCTGGGATTTGTGATTTCTGTTGATTAAAAGAATTCATTACATTATTGTCAGTAAAAGTACTAAAGTGATCATCATAGTGGCAAAATTAGCACATATGAATCCTTTCTAAGAAATCAGGGTAGCATATAGTTTCCCCATCTTCTTTCAACAGTCTGTGAGTTAGTCACTCATTTTACCTAAAGTCAGAGAGGTTTATGATAGAGAAGAAAATTATATCAAGTGCTTAAGGGGCAGTTCTGGAGGAATTGCTAGTTTATGAAGTTTACTGTTTTGTTACTGGCAGGATAGGGAGACAGTTGCCATCTAGGTTCTCTTGTTCTCCCTATTTCCATATCTACTTGCAATAATAGAAAGGTAAATAATTATGCCAGTGTAGCCTACCAATTTTGCAGACCTGTTGAAGAGATAAGAAGATTGAATATACCTTGAAAGATGTATGGAATATCTGGTTTCGTAAACCACAGGCAGAAATATAATGCTAGTGCATGTTGACATCTACTGAACATGGTTTCACTACAATCATTAGCCTTTTGGTGGCATCAACCTCACTACGTATTTTTTTAGTACAGACATTCTTTCCTTTCATACCTTTTCAATTCAAACTGCTGTTGCTTTTCTACTGTGTCAGCGGCTTCTCTCCCTTTCTTTTTCACAAACTCTTCATTCAATCCAAATTGCTGCAAGGTGTCTTTAAAAAGCTTCTGTGCTCCTTGACAGGCACTATGCTTTGGAATAAAAAGAAAGATCTTAGAAACACTTTTCCACAAAAAAATTAATAGTAATTAAAAATAAATTAACATTCTTAGGTAAATTCTAAAATAAGACAAGTGCACATTTAGAAAATACATTTTAAATAATAGGTTTGAGATAATTTTTAAAAATTCCTCAATTGCAAAACATTTACTGTTGTGACTTGTTCAAATAGGTAAGGTCTGTTCTTCACACGCATCTTCATCTCTTCTAGTTCTTTCTTATATTCTCTTGTTCTTTTCTGGCCGTTTTGCCTGAAACAAGAATTAAATTTACTGCCTGAAATAATCTGAATTATTATTCATATATGAAAAAAAAGCTTTGTTCTGCATAATTCCTAGAATAGAGGATACTTTGCCTTCAAAAATAAAATTGGTCTCTATTTGTCAAGGAGTTAACCTATCATTTTAGTCTAATCTTGTAAATTAATCTTGTTCTAATACAGTGTAATTCTAGTATATTTTATTTGTTTGCATGCAATTTTGGAATTGGGAATTGTGCAAAAGCAGTCTGTAAATACAAGTAAATAAAGTATAATAATTCTTCTATGACTGCTACATTTTGGGCACAATTGAAAGCCAATCCATCTAAATAAACACATGAGTACAGACATATAAACACATAAACAGTACTAAGTAATCTATATTTAAGTATTTTGCTCTCAGTATTACTTGGTAAATTTATAATACTCACCAGTTTTGCTTCAGTTTTTCTTTGTGTGTCTCTTCCAAACTTTTATGTGGGTCCATAGCTTTTGCTCGACAAATCACTGATTTATGTATTGCTTGGCATTTTTTTCTTTGTAGCTCTGCCCAGCGAGCTCCTTCATTCTCCTTGTATTTCTTATTTTCTTGGAGGAGTCTATAAATATAGATGTGGCCATTGGAACATATACGGTAAATAGCCCTTGACTTATGACCAGTCACTTAAATGTTCAAAATTACAACAGGTTTAGAATCTGGCCATCATAAATGCTGTATCCCACATACATGTACCCTACTGTCACATGAGTGCATTTTGGGTACTTGGCAATTGTCTTGCCTTTATGACTGGTAGATCCTGTGGTCATGTGACCATAATTCACTCCCCCCCCCTCTCCAGCAAAAAAACTGTCCATTCTGAACAGGTTTGCACATGACCACTGCTATGGTGACAATTATGACAATTTGCTTAATGACATCTGCAAAAAATATTGTAAAATAGGGTCCAGTCAAATGGGTGCCTCAATTTACAAGTCTAATAATTTACAAGCAGAAATATGATCCCAATTGTGGTGATAAGCCAAGTACTACCTTTATTTATTTCAAAATTAAATCACAAGTATACAAAATGAAGTAAAATCTGTCAATTTCTTATAAACCTTTTAAAAAAAACTTTTAAGCCTCCCTGTAATCTGCTTGATACCATTCTTAGTTTTTTTTCATGTAGTACAGAATATACTTTCAAAGATAATCTCCATCAGATGTTGATTTGGATGGGAACAAAGGAAACAAAGGCAAAGAAGTCAGTGTAAGCCATAGCATTTCGACTTGGGCAGCATTCAAATCACTTTATCTTGTTTTCTCCAATTCCAGGTCAAGCTATGATGCAGCTAAGAAAGTTATGCCATTTTATGAGAAAATATTTCTAAAATATTACTATAAATTCATGTATTTTTCAACAGTATTTATAAAAATGTTAATACTTACTTAATAGCACCTGCCCTCTTTCTCACTGCATCTGTAATATATATTGGAACTGTATTGGCAGAGAGAGATGAAAGACAATTAAAAGACCGACTTCTTTGTATTGGAGCCATAGAAGGTTGCTGAGAATCCTGAAAGCAAAAATATTTTTGGCTAGTTTTTTTTTTTTTTTAAATCTGTGACAAGCACAATTTTAAGTGCAGATATTCTTTCATATGTGTGTCCACCATATGAGTATGTAGCATTTTACTAACTTGCAAAAGCCTTGTAAATATGTGCTGTTAATATATGTATTAATACATCCTGCAAAATTCCAAAATATACCATCATTACCACACAGAAAATATTCATCAACGGCTTTTTTACTCAAGTTTCAAACAGAAAAAGTTTTATGCAAAATATGCTGGCTAGTCATTGTCTTGTCCTACAGATATAACTTGGCAGCCTTGATAATTACGTGCTTGCTTTTAGCTTAATAATTTATTTTAAATCCTTTTAACAATTCAGAAACTGTGTCCCATAAGCCAAAAATGAAAGTCAAATACAAATACAAAATACAAGTAGTCCTTGACTTACAATGGTTTGAAGTTACTTAAATGTGTCACTTAACAAATGTGGGGAGAAAAGTCATAAAATGGGGCAAAACTCACTTAACAAATTTCTCATTTTACAACATACATTTTAGGATCAATTGTGATCATAAGTTGAGGACTACCTGTATCGATAACAATATTTATAAAAACAATGGCCTTAATACAAAATGAATTCAGGTACAATATTAAACACTCCAGCAAGGCATTTCTGAAGCCATAAGATTCTGCAGTCGACAGGTAGAGAGAAGTTTGCCTTGCAGATTATGCTAATGAAACACTATGGCTGTTTCATTGGCAGTGCTTTGCCACAAAAAGCTAAGAACAAGATATATCATAGAAGACAAATAGCCATAGCATTTAGGCCATCATGTTTCTCAGGCACACTTCAGGTCTCAAGCTACTCTGGCTCAAAGCTATATAATAAACATTGTTCAACTATCAAAACTTGACAACCGATGTCAGCTAGCAAGACAGGATTCTCTTCCTAAGTACAGACTGTTCTGCCTATAGTGGAAGTATAGCCTCTTATTTTCAATTCAATTCTCCCAATCATACAAATATTTTTATGTTAAGAGTTCCAGTGTGGCACATAGGAACATCAACATGCTGGCATATTTATCCGTTAGCATCCACCAGACTAACCAATCCACATTAGAAATCTGCCTATCCACACAAAGGAACATTCAATTAAATCGGTACTATGCCCACCATGGCAGCCATTTTGTGAATCAGGAAGTCCTACAGAAGACATATTGGAAAAACTTGTACAACACAGTGTCCAAATGTGTCCACTAGTCCAAAATGATTAGAGGGATCCTTTTATATTTGAAATTACATTAGCATTGGACCTCAAATATAAACTGATATTGTTATGGCTGTTGTTACTATATTCCCCAATAGATATATGCTTAACCTAAAACTTTCTCACTGTTTTGAGTGATAGAAAATAATTGTTTATGTTGCGGATATATTTGTACATGTAGAAATACGAAGAAGTTAAAGCAAATCCTTTACCACCATCTTGTCACACATTTTATGTCTGCAACTGAGATTTGCTGTTCTCAGTCTGAATGGTTTATTACGAGTTGCTTCTTTAATTTCTTGTTTGGTTAGTACTTTTCTCTGAAATGCCCAGTAAAGTTCTTCAAAATCAGGCACTGAAGCATTAATTCTTGGCTTAAAACTAAAGTTGCCTTGCAGAAAACTCAACTTTTGCTCCCTATTTTTGGAGGCAATTTGGGATTTTTTATCCCTTTGTTTATTGTCAAGCTCAATGGGGGCCCAGGACTTTTCCAATAATTCCTTGGCTCTCAACTGAATACGGATTTTTCTTAAGAGTTCAGCTTCTAGGGATTAAAAGAAAAAAATAATGAACATTCATCCTATGACAATTTACATAAAAATATACAATGGAAAATGCCAAACTACAACAACCTTTCTCAATACGATATTTGTTTTGCCTTTTGGAAACTACCTATACCAAGCAGTATAAGCAGCTGGCTAGGAATTTTAGAGAGGCTTCTGATAGAGTTAATGCAGAAGGTATAATGAGGCCTTTAAATGACAACAGAACACAAATCTTTAACTTAAAGTGATAATGTGTCATCAAATCAGTGTTGATTCTTTGCAATTATAAAAATTTTCTCCGGGTAAACTAAAAACCCAAAATTCAAAATATTAAAGTTGTATAATAGAAAGTTCCTGTGTGAAATATATAACCAATTTGCATTGCATATATTGTGTTGCTGAATAACTATATTTGATTAATTTACTTGCTTTTCCATTGGACAAGTCTTTGTATTGTGATTGAATAAGAGAGACAAAAGTTCAAAATCAGATTTTTGTGACATTTCCCTTTTACAAATCAAGGGAAATATTAACAACCATTACTATGTTAGGAAAGTCAAAAGAGAATGATTTAATCTTTACCTTCGAGTTTATCCCCAAGCATTGGCTCATATGTGGACTTGGGGATTATCTTTCTGAACTTTGGTACTATTTTCTTAGCTGGAGTTAAAATGTTCAGAAACTGATGTCTGGTGGCCTCTTTTCTCTCCTCTTCTTTTATCTGAAAGCTGAATGGTTTTTGCATTGAAAGTAGCAACTCCTTTCTTTTTTGAGTTTCCACTTGTCTACGGATTTCATTCTTTTCCATTATTTCCTGGTAGAGTGGCAGATAGATATGAGCAGGCACAGGTTGTGCTCTAAATTGTTTTTGGCATTCTGCAGCCTCTTGCAATTGCCTTTTGTATGCAGTTGACTCTTTTTCAGGCAATGCCTGTGATTTTAGAAACTGAGATTTTTCATGAGTTTCTCGAAGGGTCATTTTGAAGGGCTGAGGAATGGTAAAAGAGGAAATCCCAATAGCTGAGGCACTCTTTGGTTTTGAACAAGACTGAAGAAATGAGTAATGATTTTTCTCATCCTTTGAGTTATCTAAAGTGATATCAGAGAAAGAGTTCCAACTTCTTATATTATCACACCTAAGAATAAAATTAAAAAACGTTAAGAGAGACACATATAAGTTACATTACATAAATGAAATAAGCTAGGTGTAATTAACATTTTCAAGACTGTGTATGATTTTATTAACCATTTCATTAAATATTCTTTATTTACAAACTACGTTACAAAATATTCCCTCAAAAGCCAAAGAATTACTGGAAGACAAAGAAACCTACATCCCAGTAAATCCAACCAAATGTAGAAACTAAATAACCTGATCATGAGAAACCGTAACTTAACCAAAAAAGGTCAAACCCCAGAGAACAATAGTGGTGAACAGTAGTGAATGAAAAGCAGTAGACCCATTCTCCCTTGCTTCTATGGATGCCTCAAATACACAATAATGGTTGAATAATAACTTCCAAGGGCCTCTATTGTCAGACTGAGATACATAATTGAGACAGCTAGATATGTTTTGTAGACCTGTGACAGGCTGGGAGAGGAAGAAGGTATTTTTTTTGTTCTCCTCAATGTTCAGTACTATTGACTGTGGTACCTTCAGGGCATTAAGAATAGGGAGCATGGTGTTATAATAGTTCTCCTTTCTGCAGGGTAGGTTTAATTAGGTATTGATGGTGTGCGTGTGATCAGACAACTAGCCCTTAATTTCTGCTTTGTGGGCGGCTTTGTAGCTTTATCCTCTATTTTCCATCAACACCTATTTGAAATTGCTGATAATATAATCTGTTAGCACGGGGACCACTATCATCCGAACTGTGATAAAATTTGTTGTGCTTATCTGTTTTTGGTAGACCGAGTGATGCTGCCTTGGTGCTTTTCCAGTTTCTGGCGACTGAGGAGGTCTGGATGGTGAAGAACAGGCTTAGACTCAACCTACCTGTAGGTTTTCTGCCCCCTAGGATGTGGATCAAGTGATTTTCCAACATTAACACTGGATAAGGTTTCATTTACCCAATTAGAGCCTGTCAGGCATCTCTAGGACTCATGATTCCTACTTGAGGAGCAGTTGGCCAAGGCTTTTGTATAACATTGTCTTGTATGTAATTGTATGGTTTCTAGACAAAGAAACCCTCACTTAATCTTCCCAGATTGATTCCTGAAATGCATTATACATGGAGATGCTCTTGAAGATCACACAGAATCTGCAACTGATCTAATCCAAAATGCAATAGCACATACTGTATAGATGTACCTCAGTATGCCTACATCATACTGTTACTTCATAACTTTCACTAAATCCCGATAGGCAGATGCTAGAACTTTTTATGAGAATTTTAAAGACTGTAGAAAGAAGAAAATATAAAAATAATCCATTTGACCATGGTTAAAATAATGAGATACTCAATGAAGCAATTATTTGAGAAAGCTAAAAATCCCCCCATTATTTAGGGAGATTTTAATCACTTCTTGACTAGGACTGGATGACAATGGTTATTTTGGGTAATGTTTAATTAATTATAAATCAATTTAATGAATTTTGATTATTTGAAGAGACGTAATAGAGAGGGGGAATGTTTAAAAGAGAAGGATGGTTTCAGACTGGGTATAATAGACAGTTTGTAATACTTATGTTGTCATTTCTGATAACTCCTAGGGGACTTTTGCTGTTTCACAGGAAGGGATGAGGTTTTTGAGATGAAATTTCGGAGGTATCTCGGGCAAGATTATAAAGAGCTGTTTGGTTTTATTTTAAGATATACTGATGAGTTCTTAATATTGATTATATTTGCTAGGGATGAAGGGTTTTTTTTTCTTTTTCTATTATCTCTTTTCTCTTTATGCACCTTTTAATATTTTTACTTTATTTAATGTATCTCTTTATTTTGTGGTTGCATAAATTTCACTTGCTCAATATAATCCTTAATAAAAAATTATTGAAAAAAACTCCAAGAAGAATCTCTGAAATTTTTCTCTCTGAGATGACAATCCAGTGGATCATAGGTTGTCTAGTACAGTAAAATTAGAAGAGATTGGACAACCATTTGTCTGAAATGGTATAGAATTTCCTGCCTGAGCAGGGGATTGGACTAGAAGACCTCCAAGATCCCTTCCAACTCTGTTATTCTATTTTATAATTTGTTAATCCCATGAAATAAAAAAATCCACTCATTTTACCTCAGATCATTCTGGAATTTTATTGGCAGTATCAGTCTTCCATTGCCCTGGAAAAAATCTTCTAGTTCCTTGTCTTTTCTGGATGAGTGATGAGCATTTTTCAGCTTTTCTTGATATAAGAGTCCTAATTCTAATAAACTCTGCCTGTTTTTCCTTTTGAGATCCTGAAGTGAATCATAAAACTGATCACCTAAACTTGAAGTAGCTATTTGGTCTTGCTGTGGCATAAGGAAATCCAGGAGCTCATTTCCAGTGATGTTATTACCTAATTCCACTTCTGATTCTGACTCTGACTCCACTTTAATCGGAAATACCTAAGCAAAACAAAACAAAACAAAACAGTAAAACCAAAATATAAAGCAGAGAAAGAACTTTAGAAATGATGTTTGTATTCAAATGGCTCAACTAGGAATTTATTTGATTAATTATCATTTTTCTGCAAGGTAATTTGCTTTGATGTTACATTCTCTTTAATGATGCCATTTCTATATACGCATACAGGTAGTCCTCGACTTATGACCACAATTGAACTCAACATTTCTGTTGCTAAGTGAGACATTTGTTAAGTGAGTTTTGCCCCATTTTACGACCTTTCTTGCCACAGCTATTAAGTCAATCATTGCAGTTAAGTTAGTAACAAGGTTGTTAAGTGAATCTGGCTTCCCCATTGAGTTTGCTTCTCAGAAAGTCACAAAAGGTGATCACATGGCCCCCGGACAATCCAAGTATAAGTCAGTTGCCAAGCATCTGAATTTTGATCATGTGACCATGGGGATGCTGCAATGGTCCTAAGTGTGAAAAGTGGTCATAAGTCACTTTTTTCAGTGCTGTTGTAACTTCGGTCATTAAAAGAACTGTTGTAAGTTGAGGACTACCTGTACTTCAGAATAAGACCTAAATTCAGCTAGTTAATAATAACAACAATAACAACACAACAATTGCAGAAGGTGGCTTTATTTGGAACTGCGACAATATCTGTAACACCATCAAACATCCAGGATGGAAGCTGTTCCAAGTGAAGGCACTTTCTGTAATTGTTTTGTTGCTGTTAATTATATTATTGTTGTATTGCTGTTATCATCATCATCATCATCATCCCAGGTCCTCGGTAAGGACTCGAAGGTAGACAAAAATGCCAAACCCAGTCTGAACATCTGGCTGACTGTGCAATGTTTGTGTATCTATATTTTTCTTGACTGTACACCGCCTTGAGTCCTACGGGAGAAAGGCGGTATAGAAATATAATAAATAAATAAATAAATAAATAAATAATCGATAACAACAACAACAACAACAACTCTTGCATTAACTATAGTTGGTGCAAAATGTCATTTTTCCAGCCATCGCGGGTTTCCTCCAATGGCATCAGCTAGGATGCAAGTACATACAGCTGGTCTCCAAGGGTGTGGTCATCGCAGCTAGAGGAAACCGCGCAAGAACAAGCCTGGAAAAACACCAAGTCGACTTATAGCAGCCTCTGCCACTAAACCATCCACCATTCATCTTGCCGTGCATCTGCTTACCCATTGTGGTTCTTCCAAAGGAGGCTTTCCTTGGGCTCCATTAGCAACTTGCGACACCGTCATGTCTCTTCCACTACTGCTATTTTCGCCACTATTAAACAGCTCCACGCTTACCTTGCTATTAATGCCCTGACCAATGAACCCTCTCCTTTTTTTTTTTGGTTTTGTTTCTCTCGCATAGTGGCCAATGATAACGGGCCGTGCTCTTACGTCCCGCCCCTGACAAGACGTCATTGGACAGATTCCGTTAACCTGTCCATTGTCATGGTAATCCCGAAGACGTTTCCGGTAACGAGCGGTTGTTAGAGAGACGGATTCGTCACTTCCGAAATAATGGCTGCCGTAGCTGGATTACTGTTGAATCGAGGCGCCGGATTGTATCGTAGGAAGAGTCTCCTTCTTCTTCTCGCGGGGCCTGTCGGCTCTCTGTCGCGGCAGGGTTCAGTGAGAAGCAACGGCTCCAACGCTGTATACGATGTGGTGGTGTCGGGCGGTGGCATGGTGGGAGCCGCCATGGCTGCTGCTCTGGGTATGAGATTTGGCAGTAAACCTCCCTTAAAGGCACCCAGAAGTCTGCAAGAATCCCTATTTATTTTAAGTCTCCACAGTTTTCCTTAATTTGACCCCCCTCCGTCATGGCGATTGGGAATTCTTGCCCAATACTTGCCGAGAAAACCAGTTTGGGGGATGTTGATACAGAGAATCAGGTTGGTTCTAGGCCGAAGGTGATTATTGTGACCGGTAATTTATAATATTTTTACACGTTAAAGAGAATGGTTATGAAATGTTCGTCGCATAATCCGGTGTGGGTCCCCCCAATAGCAGAATTTGAAGACCAGTTTCCTTTAAAACGCTATTAAGCTGATTTTACCTATTGAAGGAGATACGGATTTTATAGCTTTCAAGGAACGGTTTTTGTGTATAGGCCTATCAGTGCAAACTACACTGCTCCAAAAAATAAAGGGAACACAAGCAGAAGACATCCGAGATCTGAACGAATGAAATAGCCTTATTAAATACTTTGTTCTTTACATACAGTAGTTTATACACTGCTCAAACAACTAAAGGGAACGCAAAACTACTGTATGTAACGAACAAAGTATTTAATAAGGCTATTTCATTCATTCATTCAGATCTCGGATGTCTTCTGCTTGTGTTCCCTTTATTTTTTTGAGCAGTGTAGATTAAATTACAGGATTTACATGCTGCTCCAATTGAAATAGGCTCTGAATGGTTTATACAAGGTGTTGAACATGAACAAAGTTAAAAAGAATAAAACTGGCCATTGCATTTTTGGCTATTCAGCTGCTTCAAAAAACATGTAACATTTCTATAAAGGAAAGAATTCATAACTATATTAATAATTTCAGGTTTAGATATTACACTACAAATGTTACATAAGCTTTGCATTTTAGTAATTATAAAGATTCTGTAAACTAAACTGAAACCATAGAGTAGGGCTGTCAAACTCCCAGCCCATGGGCCGGATGTGTCATGCGCTGGCCACGCGCACACCCGGTTTAGCAAAGGGGAAAAAAGTCCCGATACGTAACCATTTGCTTAGAGGCAATACAGATAGTCCTCAGCTTACAATCACAATTGATCCCAAAATTTCTGTTGCTAAGTGAAATGGTTATTAAATGAATTTTGCCCCATTTTATGACTTCTTGCCAAGTTAAGTGAATCACTGCAGTGGTTAAGTTAGTAACATGGTTGTTAAGTGAATCTGGCTTCCCAATTGACTTTGCTTGTTAGAAGGTTGCAAAAAGTGATTGCATGACCCTGGGATACTGCAACTGTCATAAATAGGAGTCAGTTGCTAGCATCTGAATTTTGATCATGTGACCATGGAGATGCTACAATGGTCGTAAGTGTGAAAAATAGTCATAAATCACTTTTTTTTAGTGCTGTTGTAACTTCGAATCGACACTAAATAAACTGTTGTAAGTCAAGGACTACCTGTACAGAGTTGTATTTGATAGTCCTATGTTGGCTAGAGGAAAAATGAGATAGTGTAACCATATTTGGTTGAAACATACTTATAGACAATAGATATTGTCTCATGCAGCCCAAGTTTTCTGATTTTCCTGTGTCACAGATGAAGGAATAACTGGTACTCAAATCCTACAGATACTTTACCAGAACTAGAACTAAGCATTCTGAGTGTTCAGAAAAAAATCCAAAACAAGTCTATTCCTTGTATGTATGTGTATAAAGGCTTGTATTTCATAATCTTAAAAAAATACTTGATTAAACTTTGCTCAGAAAAAAGTTAAACATCTGATTGCTTCTTTTAAGGGCATGATGTTCATCTCTCTGATAAGAAAATTCTACTACTAGAAGCTCGTCCCCAGAAAAAAATTAAGCATTTATCAACAGATTACAGTAATAGAGTCAGTGCTATCACACCTGGATCTGCCACATTTCTAAGTAGTAAGTATAGCGTTATCCAGTTATCTGCATGCCAACTGTGAATGTGGGTAGCCATACACAGCCATCTTTGTTTACTAACCAAGTTGTTCCAACTATGATTGCTAAGTAAACATTTGATTGAGAGAGATTATGCAAAAATCACTAGTTATTGCTGTCTTATTCAAATAAAGTTATCTTGCATAACTATGCCAGCATTACTTTCTCTCCAAATTAATTATGTTCACAAGCATGTATTGTCAGGCCCATGAAGTTTGGTTAAATGTACATGTTGGCTGGAAAATGATTTTTATTGCTTTTTATTACTATAGCATTTGTAATGATCACTAACTGAGGCAATTGCCAAACAAGGAATGGGTATATTGAGTTTGATGCTTGGTATGAAATTATAGCGTCTTGCATTCTATGCAGGATATTAATTTAAGAGCGACATTAATTATTCACATGTAAGATCTCTTCCAACTCTGTTATTCTATTCTATTCTTTTCACATATTCCTGCCCATTGAAATGTGGTCTTGTATAATTAGCTCTTTATATATTGGTCTAAGAATCATGGGCAGCCTATTATATTTTTGGCCCCATGACTCTTCAGTGTTGATACTAGAATCACAAAATATGTATTATTGATGTCCTAGTTCTGCCTTCTAAGCATTTCTCCATATTTATCCTTATGATTGCTTCTTTTTTGTGCATATTTCAAAAACAAAATCCTTTTAAACAAAATCAGTATTCTCAAGAAATGGCAATTGAATCAAAAGCTATAAAAATCCATGAAGTGGAACAAAGACTATTGCAAAAAAAGTAGCTAATAGTTGAGTTTTATTTATTCTTTGGCTCTGATGAGTTCTCATTAAATGTTTATGGAATATTGGAGTTAATCTTTGATATAGTAGGATAATTTTCTTTCTTTTATAGGCTTTGGTGCATGGGAACATATCTGCAATATGAGAATCAAACCTTTTAGGAGGATGCAGGTGCTTGATAATGCAAAAAATAAATATGTCTGTGGTAATATATACAATAATATATTGTGCAGGTTCTTAAGTTACTTTGTTCTTAGCAGCTACAGTGTATTTCTTCTCTAGAGAAAATTATATGTATCATACAGAGGTGGGTTTCAGCAGGTTTTGACCAGTTCTGGAGAACCGGTAGCGGAAATTTTGAGTAATTCGGAGAACCGGTAATAAAAATTCTGACTGGCCCCGCCCCCATCTATTCTCTGCCTCCCAAGTCCCAGCTAATTGGGAGGAAATGGGGATTTTGCAGTAACCTTCCCTTGGAGTGGGGTGGGAATGGAGATTTTACAGTATCTTTCCCCTGCCACGCCCACCAAGCCATAGTTTCTCACTTTTAAATACCTTCTGCTTTTCAACATTAATATCTTTAACATGCATTTGCTAGACAATCCAGCAGTTGAATTTTATAAATGAAAAGTCTTGATAAAGGGGATACTGATGCATTTCTTTGCTGCATTTAAATAGAGAATTTCTTTTTGTAGGTGTGGGATGCTTGCTCTGAGGCCCTGATCATGTTTGAGAATGATAACCTGGAAGACATGGGTTATATAGTAGAGAATGATGTTATCATGTCAGCTCTATACAAACAGTTGGAAACAGTTTCAGGTAGCTATTGTTTGTCTTAATTTTGATTTACTTTAGCCTTTTTCAGAAAACGGTGTATAAAGTCATAGAAAGCCATGAAATCTATGTCCAGTAAATAATCTGGATTATAATAGTAGGCTTCTTGAGGCTTTCTATTTTTGAATATGGAAGTGTCCCTTCTTAAGTTATTAAGCTATTAATTCAATTAGCAAGGCTTGGGTCTTGATTGGCTTCAGAATTTTATTTCTTTGCTGCTGCTCTATCTGTTAATGACATTGACACATTGTGTCCCTATTAGACCGAGTGGAAGTTCTCTACAGGAGCAGAGCAGTTGGATATACCTGGCCCCTTCATCATCAATCTTCTGACTCAAGTCCTTGGGTCCAAATTGATTTAGCAGATGGACGCAGATTTCAAACCAAATTGCTGGTAACTAAGATATTTTCTATTTGATTAGGCACCATCTCTTTTCTAATCCTTTCTACTGGATTTGCTTCTAATGTCATGTTGTGCAATATTACCGGCATGAAGGGGGCTGAAAGGTGAGTTGAAAATATTATTGTTATTGATTCTAAATGCATTTATTTTGAAGTATTTTTCGGACTGTAAAATGCACTTCCCCCCAAAAAAAGTGGGTGGAAATGTCTGTACATCTTATAGAGTGAATGTTGCTGAAGCCCAGCCCACCCACCGGCCCCACCCGCCGGCCTCTGCCTCCCAGCAATTTGCCTCCTTGTAGCAAACAGCAAACAGCCTAGTCAGCTAAAGCACAGCCTGATTTAGCACAAGCAGCTGATTGGTGGTTGGATCTGCCTCCTGAAATACCACCGATCACCTGTTCCAGGCTGTCAGGATCACCGCCGCCCATTGGTACTGCCACCTATCACCACCGCCTGGAATAGGCCAAAAACAGGATGCGCAGAGGCCGAAAATGGGCACGCGGAGGCAGCGATATTAGCTTTTGGGTCTGTTTTGGTGGAGTCCTTAGAGGAGATACTGGAGAAAGATGTATACAAAGATGTAGATGGGTGGCTGGGAAGGCATGCTTCTTTTGCTACCAGGCAGACATTATAGACCCTTTGTCTATTGATAGCTCTTAAAAGAGGATTTGTTTTTTCATTAAACCTGCTAAAAGAATTAATTTTAAATTCTTATTATCTTCACAGATTGGGGCAGATGGCCAAAACTCTTTGATCCGGAAAGCAGTTGGTATTCAGAATATTCATTATCAGTATGATCAATCAGCAGTAGTTGCTACTCTTCACTTGTCTGAGGTCAGATGTTGGTATATCAAGCTACAACTTTGAAGATAAAGAACTAACCACAGAAAATTAGTAATCTTCACTGTCTTACATACATTTCAGGCAACCGATAACAATGTGGCATGGCAGAGATTTCTTCCATCAGGACCAATTGCTCTCCTGCCGGTAAAGAACTTTGTAACTTTCATCTAACACAGTTTTTAGTCATTGTCTTTTGACTTGTTTTCCATTGGTTAATAATTGACAGATCTGTTATTACAGTAAGCATTTTTAAAAAATTCTTACGAATGTACTTTTTCCCATTAACTGCCTCTCATGATTTTATTAAGATGTTAGGTTTTGATGAAATCCTTGCAGTGATATGCATTTGAGGAGATGCCTTGTTTTTGTCTCATATTATCAACTCAGCTCTCTGATACAGCCAGCTCTTTGGTTTGGTCCACATCACATGAACATGCACTTCAACTTCAGAGTATGGATGAAGAAAATTTTGTGGACTCAGTCAACTCTGCTTTTGTGAGTATTTTCATTTTATGAAATGCAGATTATTGATGTTCTCTGATAAGAAACAAGAAACAAGAAAGAGCCTTGATAGTACAGTGGTTTAGTGCACCCTGTTATTAAAACAGCTGCCTGCAATTTCTGCTGGTTCGAATCTCTCCAAGGCTCAAGGTTGACTCAGCCTTCCATCCTTTCTAAGGTAGGTGAAATGAGGACCCAGTTTGTGGGGGCAATAAGCTGACTTTGTATAAAATATACAAAAGAATGAAGGCTATTGCTTAACGCATTGTAAGCTGCCCTGAGTCTCCGGAGAAGGGCGGCATATAAATCAAATTAAAAAAAAAAAAAAAAAAACAAGTATTCAAGAGGAGCAATATGATGTTTGAATAATTTTGATCGCTGAAAGCTATGTTAGTGCTAGTTGGATACAAGGATCTATTTTTTTCCTCAGGTTCCATGCTTCCTTAAATTTAACCTAAAACATCTCTGCCTAAAGATCAATAAGATCTTCTACAAACATAACTTTTATTAATTGTGGTGTTGTCGCCAGTTGTTTGTTCATTCAAAACTTCATGGATGCCATCACCTATATTTATCCTGAAAACACCCTTACTGGTTATTCTCATAGGGTTTCTATGTGTGTCATCTCCATATTCCCCTTCCCATAATATTGGCATGATTGTGGGCACAGGGCAGGGGTGAAATGCTCCGGGTTTGGACCGGATCGCCTGATCCGGTAGCAATGGCGGTGGGTGGTTCGGAGAACCCGTAGCAAAAATCCCTGCCCCCCCCCCCATGCCCAGCTGAGCCATGCGATCATCAGTGGCATTTTTTTTTACTTTTAAAAGCATTTTTCTACAACCTCTTTGGCCGAAAAAATGCTTTTAAAAGTAAAAAAAAAAGCCTCTGATGATCGCGCGGCTCATCTGGGATCATCACAGCGTTTTAAAAGCATTTTTTCTACAACCTCTTCAGCCGAAGAAGTTGTAGAAAAAATGCTTTTAAAAGGTAAAAAAAAAGGCTCTGACGATCACAGCTGAGCAGCGCGATCGTCAGAGGCTGGTTTTTTTTTACTTTTAAAAGTAGTTTTTCTTCAGAAGAGGTAGAAAAAATGCTTTTAAAAGTTAAAAAAAAAAAGCCTCTGATGATCGCGCGACTCAGCTGGGATCACTGGGAAGCCTTTTAAATGCTTTTAAAAGGCTGTGATGATCCCAGCTGAGTCGCGCGATCATCAGAGGTTTTTTTAACTTTTAAAAGCATTTTTTCTACAACTTCTTCAGCCAAAGAGGAGGTAGAAAAAATGCTTTTAAAAGGTAAAAAAAAGCCTCTGACGATCACAGCTGAGCAGCGCAATTGTCAGAGGCTGGTTTTTTTTACTTTTAAAAGCTAAAAAGATTGCGCACTCCAGCTCATCACCACCCCTCGCGTGCTGTTCTACTTACCGCTTGCCTGCTTTTGGCGTGCACTGTGTGCACTGCACATGCGCAGCCAGCAAACCGGTAGTAAACCGGTTCAGATTTCACCACTGGCACAGGGGCAGGAGGAGGACACTTGTGTATGGACATATTTATTAGTGCTCACATTACCTACCCCATGGCCTTTCACCACCTTTAGCATTTGAGGATTAAAACAAAGTTGCCATTGAAAGAATCATTCAGTCTTTCATTCATTCATTCACTCACTTATTTACTTATTTCTTTAAAATATATGTACAGCTGCCTATCTTAATAACATAAGCCAGGACACTTTACAAAGAAGAGGGAATCAACCTGGAAATGAGGAGAAATTTTCTGACAGAACAATTAATCAGTGGAATGGCTTGCCTCCAGAGGTTGTGCGTGCTCCAACACTAGAGCTTTTAAAGAAGAGATCGGACAACCATTTGTTTGAAATGGTATAGGGTCTCCTGCTTGGGGTTGGACTAGAAGCCCTCCAAGGTCCTTTTCAACTGTTATTCATGACTCAAAAATAAATGAATCAGAATTTTATCTTGTCATTGTGCTTCTTAGATGCCACACAAGAACTGAGGTGGTTCTGTTTCTAGACGAGTTCTGCATGCAAGGAATGTTCAGAGCATTGGAAGCAGGGCTAAAAGAAGAACACATTTTCCTTCTAACATGTTTTGTTTACTGTTATTTCCTGCTTGTGACTGCTATTCAGTTCAAATGCTGGGCAGAAGTATTATTCTAAAACTGGATTTTCAATCTGTCAATTTCAGAGTCCATTAGGGGCATATAGTTACCAAATAAATCTTTATCGTTATTCAGTGGAGCAACGCAAATCACTCGGACTTCATTGATACTGCTGCATCCATGTTTCGATCTGCTGTTTCTCTCTTGATGCCGTCGGGGACTGCAGCCCGACAGCTGCCCCCAAGTGTTGCAAAAGTCGATCCTAAGAGCCGAGCTGTATTCCCTCTTGGATTGGGACACGCAACAGAATATGTCCAAGATCGTGTAGCCCTTATTGGGTAATTTTCTTTGAGAAACTAATTTATTATAAGTAGATAATAAAGGCTTTTCTTAATTAGGATTGATTGATTATGCTAGAAAATAGGAACTAGAATCTAGTGCTGTCTTATAGGTACAGAAGCAATCTGGCCATATTTGATTTTTCCATTTTGATATATCACCATCTGTGGAAGTAGCTTTTACTGGGTGGGGGTGGGGGTGGGGGGGAACGAGCTAGGAAAATCCTATTATAGGATCAATTTTTTGTGTGTGTCCATCCTGTAAATGTTTAAAGATATTGCTTAAGAGAGTTCTGCAGTGATGCAGAATATGAAATATGGGGAATTAGAGTTGTCTCTTTTTACCATAAACTAGACTATGGATTTTTCTTTGTGTCTAGTATTATTATCCTCTCATTTCAGTGATGCAGCTCACAGGGTACATCCTTTAGCTGGCCAAGGTGTAAATATGGGTTTTGGTGATATTTCATGCTTGACAAATTATCTAAGTGCTGCAGCATTCAAAGGAAAAGATCTAGGTAAGTATATAACACAAAGAAGCAATTTAGGGCTTTGTCATAAACACCCAGTGGTCCAATGGCCATCTCTCTTGGAGTTAATGTGGGTTTATTTTTTAATTAATTATTTTAATTAAAAACAAGGATACAAAGCAAAATGCTTCTAACTTAATTTTGGAGGGGGGGCCCTGTGAGCTGTTTGGAATCAGGCCGCAAAAGTGGTAAGCGTGCCCACCACTCATGCAAATGGTGCTGCATACATGCACACTTAATATCTTCCCTCTCCCCCCCATCCACAAAGCCAGGAAGGTTGGGGAACTCTGATGTAGGCCATGTAATCTACCACACGAGGTGGAATTGTTAATCTTCAAAGAGTGCCATTACCCCCTTCATACCATTTTCTTTTTGCTAAAATCTGACATATCAGATTGAGTAATTTTGTAGCCTGATGCCAATCCTCCCTAACTTCTTTGGGATAATCAGTTTACTAATTAATTAATTTCAAATTAAACTTTGTAGGTTCTTTAAGTCATCTACTACAATATGAAGCAGAACGACAGAGGCACAATCTTTCTCTTGTGGCAGCAACTGATTTGTTAAGCAGGCTTTACTCTACAAATATGGCGCCTTTCGTGCTGCTGAGGACGTGGGGATTGCAAATAACCAATGCTGTACCTCCGGTTAAAGTAAGCTCTCTTTTTTTAAAGTAGGTAACTGAATGTGATAATTCATTTAAAGGCGGCGGCTAATGGAAGGGGCATGTTTGTAGCTAGACAATAGTACTCCTGAACATTTATCTCCTTTCCACATGTGGTATTGATTTGATTCCCATGATGGGCTACTCAGAATAAACTAGTAGCTCTCAGCTGGATGGTTGTTCAGAATCTTCTACTGTATAACTCTGCTATCGTCTTGCAGTCAATTGGCCACTGTAGCCCAGATCTTGCAATCCTTAAATTTAACTAACTAGTACTATATTTCTATCAGCCTTCTCCAACTTGGTACTTTCCAGGTGTATTTAATTTCAGTTCCTAAGATACCATTAAGTTTCCATAAATGAAGAGTGGAACTTTGATTTATCTATAGTTTTATGTGTAAGAACACATATCACCTATGTATGGTTATATAGTTCTTTTCTGTTTTATAGACCACAAATTTTGCAATTATTTAGTTATTAATTTTGCTAATAAAACAATTTGCTGTTGCCTTGATTAAGGTGCGAAGATTTCTATCAAGGATTCATGTAATTGATCTGACTTAGATTACACACCAAGTGATTAAGAGACTATTAAGTGCAATGTAGAACACACAGTACTGTTCTTTTTAATCACCGATAAGGAAACTGTATGCTAGGGGTCTTCTGTAGATATCTGTAGAAAGGATCTCTGATGGCACTCTGCCATCTATATGATTTATTAGGGCTCTTCCAAAAAAAAATCACAGGATACTATATAGTTCCTCAACAGACCTACAACTATACTACTTCTGTTGTATTTTATTTTCGTTGATTGGTATCCCTGGGAGGGAAGACTTAGTACGAAATGAGAAAAAAGAGGGTATCACCTAACTTAGTTGTAATAAACTTTTACAGCATAGGAAAGTAACAAGGATTTTGGTATGGATTTTCCTTTCCCCTTAAGAAACCACATCCTCATTGTTATGAATAATGGTAGAAGTAATAGAATACTAAAATGTCTGTTTTTTCCTCATCCTTTAGGAGCAGATCATGGCGTTTGCCAGTAAGTGACAACCTTGTGAATCCAGAGGTACATGCTCACTCATGATAGCTGGATATCTATTTATATACTATAGAGAATTAAGGAGATGTATAAGATTGTTAGATTAACTTATTCACCCTGAAGTTGCTGTTTCTTCCAGTGAATAAATTATTTGGCTTTCTCTTAGAATTCCAAAAACTATCCAATAGCACTCAATTTTTTAAACTATAAAACTGGCATAGCAATGGACTACTGCTGGAAAAAGTTTATGATCATAGTAAAGAACAAGTAAAGGTTCACGTATTGAACAAAGTACAACCTGCTTCTCAGCTCATCAGCTTGTCCTCTTATTGTCTTGGAGGGAACAACATAGATGAGGTAGTTGTTGCTTGCTGATTAGAACCTTAAGAAGTAGAATAGCTGAGTGAATATCAGTTACAGACTGCCAAAGAACATTGTTGAAATAGTTTTATTATTAAAACAAACATTCAAATGTGTCCTAGCATTTTGTGTAACAAAGTTAAGTTTGAGAATATCCATGTGTTACAGCACCAATAAAAAGAATATGACTAAATGAATAGTGATATTCATACTGTCCTCTGAACAAATAATTTCAGAATAAAATCTCTGTTTCTGAAAAAAAAATCGAACATTTATTTCACAGTTACATACAATGCTGCATATATAGGCATGTGTTAGGAAGGAACTTAATCCATTTACAGTTTAGCTTAATTTTATCTACTTAGATATAAATTATTGTTAAGCAAGTGCTCCAATGCTAATATTATTTATACACCTAATATCTGCCTTTGCTTAAAAAAGTAATTAATTTAGTCCTCAGGTGTTTGTTTCATTAACTCTTCCTCCATGAATTATACAGTTGTATCTTTTTCAACAAGGCCATTGCAGATTCTTTGCAGATAAATTACATTTGTAAACATTCTCAATACATTAGGAAAAGCATAGGCACTAATACCAAACTAGTAAAGGGATCATCAGAGAGAAAAAAAACTTAGCATCATGCCTCATTCACTGAGACAAGTTCCTGATTAGTACTCCAAGTTCATTTAAATAAGTGCCATTTCAGAGTAAATGTACACAGAATTGACACTTCTAATATTGAGTAAGAGCACTTGGTTAAAAATGTAGGTATATCTTATTACCACATTTTAACATTTATGCTAAAGAGTTTTTTTTAGAAAAAAATATACTATATAGAAATATGTGCAAAATATTAAGATGGCTCACTTAATACATAGTTCAGGAGATTATTTTGTTTTATCATTTGAAGAGATCTTCTGATCCAGTTAAGTGCTTTGCAACAAGTAATGTACCAATCTACTAGCCAGAATGTAACTGCTGGAATCTAATTGCCCTGTCTCCAAACCAATATATATTTGGTGGGGGGGGATGTGGTAGTAAAAAAAAAGGCTTTTATTTTCATAGAATTCTTTAAAAAGAGGCTATCCAGGGCTTGCATTAAGTTATTCTATAAGAGTTGACTGAGGAGGAAGTACTAATCATATCTCAGGAAGTATTTAACCCAAGGAAACCTCATTGTCTAACATAAAAAAGAACAGTTATAGAGGACTTTGCTTTTTAAATTTAGAAAAATAAACCTGAAACAATTCCTTGTGGGATTCCTAAAATCTTTTTGCTAATACTCCTCACCAACTAATATATATATATATATATATAATTGAATAAAATAACATCTTTATTTATGTTTAAGAACTAGCTAACCCTAGAAGCATAACTACTTGGTTTCAAACAACTTATGGGAAAGATAAATAATAACTTCGGTTTTGCTGTTTTTTCTTTTAAAAAATCAGACTAAGCTGCTTCTTTGATGTGAACATTCAGAATTTCATAGTTAAAAGAGCTCATGGAGCAAGTCCAATGTTGGATGTGCTGGTACCAAATATGCATTCATGACTTGACAGAAACGATGCCTAATCTGTTTCAAAGTTCTTTGGCATCAGTTAGGTAGTTAGGTCTTACCACTGTAGAAGAATTTCTGTTGAACTGCAGTTCTTAAAAGTAAAACTTTCTTCTACTTTGGTCTGTAATTTTGTTATGTGTTGATCAGAATGGCTCTTGCAAGAAATGCAAATCTTCTGTTTTCCTAGTAGGAGAGTCCTAGAGACTGTAGAAGATGAAAGGTAGCCCCCAAAGCCCAACTTGTCTCTATGTTATTGACTTTCTTTGCCAGCTGAAAAGGAAAAATAAGAGATCTGATTCACTTGATTATACAGGCATTTTTTAGACTGAATACTACATGGCAACTATCTCTGACAGAGATAGTTATCATAATTACAAAGCCACTATATCAATATTTTTCAATTTAGTTGTACCCTAGATCAGAGTTGCCCAACTTTTCCGACTTTGCAGATTGGCAGGTGGGGGGGGGAGAGGATGCTTTCATGTGAGTGGGGGCAAGTGCATACACGATCCAATTGCACATGTGACGGGCCCGCCCACCGCTCATGTGAATGCAGCGTATGTACACATGGTCACCCAGCGCTCAGGCAAGTGGGGATGTGCATATGTATTCACCCACCACTTCCATGGCCTGGTTCCAAAAGGCTCAAGGCCCGGTACCACTACCATCCTGTACATATGTAAACTACATCCACTATCAAACTATGGGATACATACGTCCCCCATATGAACTACTTAGGGCCCTTGTAGCAACACTGAAGCTGAAGTGGCCCTGACTGGCAAACAGGAAGAAGATCTGATCAAGAACCTGAGGCCAAGAATCTGAATCAAATGGTTTCTATTCATTAATCTTATCTCAGAGATAGCATGGCTAGCTGCTGACCTAGCAGGAAGGGATACATACTAAGGTCACATGAATGGGTTTATCTAAAATATAATTTCCACCCTGTCTCTCTTTGTCTTGCTGTTGCAATGTAGTTCTCAAGTTATAACCATTTGTTCAGCAACCATTCAAAGTTACAACACTGAAAAAAGTGACTGATGACTGGTCCTTGCACTATTGCAGTATCCCCACAATCATGTGATCCAAATTTGGATTCTTGGCAACTGGCAGGTATTTATGATGGTTGCAGCATCCTGGGGTCACCTGATTACCACTTGCAACCTTCCAGCCAGCGACTGACAAAATCAATGAAGAAAAGTGGATTCACTTAATGACTGCATGATTCACTTAATAGTTTCAGTGATTTGCTTAACAATTATGGAAAAGTTTTTAAAATTGGGTATGACTCATTTAACAACAGCTTTGCTTGGCAATGAAAATTCTGGTCCCAATTGTGGTCATAAGTAAAGGACTACCTGTAGTGGATGAAAGGTATATAAGCCCTGGTTATGGTTTTGCTTATAACTCCCCAGCAAAGTATTAAAACTTTGCTTGGGGTCCAGCATATACTGTATTATTGCTTGTATGCATGCAGATAAAATTATATTGCATCTTCAGAGTGACTTGGTTGCTTTAGGTAAATCAGGTTTTGACCACAATATTATCCAGAAATGCAAAAGTTACAGAGAACAAGTGGCACAGCCTTAGGAAAAATATTAATAAATTATTTGCAAATGATCCTGTAACTAAATTAAAAAAGGGGTAAGGTTTCCCCTATTAGTCATGCCCAACTTTAGAGAGTGGTAATTATCTCTGATTCACAACCGAAGAGCCAGCATTATCTGAAGACGCTTCTGTGGTGATATGACCAGCATAACTATACCCTGAAGGCACACGGAATGCTGTTAGCTTGCCACCAAAATGGTACCTATTTATCTACTTGAATGCTTTTACATGCTTTTGAACTGCTAGGTTGGCAGGAGATTGGGCAAGTAACGGGAGCTCACTCTAGCATGTGGTACTTAGATCTCAAACTCCCAACCTTCCTATTTACAAGTCCTTACAGCATCTTAATCACTTGGCCATAAATATTATTTGCAAATGATTCTGTAACTGAAAGAGCAGTCCTCAATGCCACATAGTAGGACATGGGAGTAGATGCTGTAGCATCATGTCTTTATAGATTTCCTACTGGCATCTAGATTACAGATGCTAGGATAAACTGGGATTAGATGAGTCTTCTGATCATCATAGCAATTCTACATTCCCAAATTCTATCATTTCTAAAAAAATCACTGGAGATTTCAAAAAACCTAAACCCAGAGAATTAGGTTGAGAAAAATTGAATTACAGTACCTTTATTTCATTTAAAGTTCCTAACTCTAGGTTAAATCTGTACTGAATGAGAACTCAAAAAAGCTTCTCTGCGGAATAGATGATTATACATTTATTTTCATGGCATTCAAATAACATTTGAATTAAATTATCTACTGAATGATCAAGGTGACTGATGACTGATCATTATTAAGATTTTCATAAAATAAAGCTGTCTTGACTATTAAGGATAAAGTTTATATTCTAGTAGAGTGAAAGTGATACAAAAACATGATAACTTCTGTTTATTTTGACAAATAGTCCAACAATCATATTGCAATCAATGTTGCTAAAATAAATAAATTCCCCATAACTTCACGGGATGAAATGCTAGGTTGGATCCTGCAATTTTTACTTGCCTGTAAAACTGTGCTGTCTCCAAATCCAAAGCCTTCTTTTAATAAAGCTGTAATGTAACTGAGATCCATACATAAAAAGGGGCTGGCAGTGCTATAGTTATCCAGATTATCACAAACTAAATGAAAACAATGAGGAGAATATTCAATAAAATTAGAATAGCTGCTGAAAAATAAACATAACATAACCAGTAGTACCACAGAAACTCTTTTGCTTAATACTGGTTTATTGCTAATCATGGCTGAAGGATCTGGAATGAGTTATGGTTTTGGCTGCTTGTTTTTCCTATATCTTCTAACCATGTGGAGGAATAGATTTCAAATGCTGGGCTGGAGCATCTCAGGAAGAGTTCAAATGTACTAATGAATGTGGCTAGAGTTATATAACTATAGGCTGTTTCCAATCCTTAGTCTTACTTGATGACATATTACTGTCTATTTAAACAGCAGATCATTTATCCTCACTTAACATAAAAAGGGTATTATTACTGTTGATATGTGTTTGTAAACACGTTATACATAATATATACCAAGATGAAATGTGACCCCATAAGATGGCAAATATTGTTGAATTTATGATATCTATCAATTGGTTTTCTTTCAAGGATTTTTTTATTCAGTGAGATCATTAACCTGTTTTATCTCTTACGAATAATTATATTGCTGTTTCAAATTTAAGCATACTAAACATGACAGTTAAGTGATTAAAAATCTGTAAATGCAAGATAGCCAAATAAAAACAAAAAATTGAGCAATTTCAAATTGGTAGTAAACTAACTAGAAGGAATCTAGATAAAGTCAAACTCATTTTACCTTGTTGGGCTTTTCTTTCAAAGTCTCTCACATATAAAACACCACCTTTCTCATAATCTGAAATGACAAAAGGTACTGTAAAAATCATAGCTGTGACACAATGAAACCTGCATTTCAAATTGTACAGTACTTTGAAATCAGTTAAAATCTGAATGATTTTTTAAAAATTACAAGGTTTTTGAATCACAACTGCAAAATGACACATTTCTTGCATAGTTTTCTTTCACGTTAAATTTAAATATGATTATTTCCCTTTAAGGTATAGCTTTTTCTTTATGTCATATTAAAATTTTGGAGTGATGCAGCCTTGTGGCCTTGATTAAGTATTTTTCTTTAGCAGGGTGAGCACCACTTTGTGCCCCCAGGACTATCCATTCTCCATAAGTATCTTACACACAGAGAGCAGTAAGATTTATTTCTGCCCAGAGCCTTAAACATGTACTCCCCTATAGTTTCCTTTTAAAGAAATGGGTCTCTTGGTTGGAAAAAAAAAGCCTACTTTTCTCTCTCAATGCAACAGCTATTGATGTCCCAATACAGCATTGCTCCACTCCCAATCACTATCTTCCCTTCCCCTTTTCCCTCAGCTATTGCCCTCGTAGCCAAGGATGTCACCTGCAGCCCTGCTCTTTTGACAGCTATGAGATTAGCGAATGTAATGGCTGTTTCTAAAGGGCTCTTATTTTTCAAAACATATATTTTGCTGTCCTTTAGGAAAATTTAAATGATTTATCTATTTTACACTGGTTAATTACTTAATGTCAACCTTGCTTCTAGCTGATATTTTATCTGCTATTGCCTTACTTGTTTATAAGATTCATGCTAGTTATTATTTGCATGATTTTATTATTTATTAATAACATTTATATGGCCATCCAACTCACAGTAACACTGGAGTAATCCCCACTGAGATTTTATCTTGCGATTAAGCTAAATAAATAAATAAATTGATTCTGCAAGTTATAGGGTTAACTTCCAAATTTTTCAAACATTTCCTATTCACCTATAAGGTCAGTGTCCACCGCCCGATCATAATAATAGGAAAAGGCATAAAAGGAACTTCTCTGAATCTCATCTGGTTGATGCAATTTTCCTTGTACAACCTTCAATACTTCAGAATAACATGGTTCAAATCCAGTTTCACCTATCAGAATAAAGACATTAGTATAAATATGACATGAATCATAAATTCCAGTTCTTCCCTTAAGATTACTACAGTCTTCATATAGCCTCGTTCCTATTTTTTTCTTTTATGAATATACCAACAATTTACTTCATTTAAAAAAATACTTTCCTAGAAAGCAGTATCTTTTTAAATTACCTTCTGTGTTGCCACCATACTGGTATTTTACTCCACCAAAATGCCATTCTGCTTCCAGCTGTTTTGGCAGACAAGAACTTCGGAATGTCTGTCCAAGTGCTTCAAGAGAGAATATGGAAGAGGAAAATTTATTTATAAACATAGACACATGAACACATTCGTTTAATTTGGTTTTAACTGCAAAAATATGAGCCTGAGGGGAAAAGTGGAAGTGAAGACTTTACTCATTTTCCTATGGAAGATGCTTTATTTACTAGACCAGTAGTTTTTGGACTGTTGGAGAGAGGAGGATAATTTGGGCACATCTTAGGGGTAATGGAGCAATTTGTAAGTATTTGTGAGTCAAGGATCCAATTCAGGAGTGTTGCTGGGTGGAAGAGCAGGCTGCTTGGAATGCATGCCTCCTTTCTTTCCCATTTAAGCTTCTCTCCAGCAACAGCATGACAGAGTTGCCAATAAAGTAAAAATCCTGACATTGCTATGGGAGGAGACACATGTTTTGGAGCTCTGCATCCACCAGCAAACTGAATAGAGCAACAAAAAGAGAGGAGTTTTCCTTTTCATCTGAAGGAGAGGATGGTCCAAAACAGAAGGCAAGAAATATAGAGGCCCAGTAAGACAAAGCACAATGTAAAAAAGGTGCATGAGTTCTAATGCTGGCCATTAACACAAAAAGAAGAAATCTGAGAGAGAAAGGACAAGACAGAACAAATTTAAGAAATATTGATGCACACTAATAATGGTATAGAGTATAGTATATAGGTAATTTTAATAGAGTAATAGGTAATAGTAATATAGTACATTGAATAGTAATAGTTATAGTAATTATAATTGTCATAGTAATCCGGAGAGAGAATAGAACAGAATCTAGGAAGCACATATAATTTTTGATGGGTTTTTTTTACAGAATAAAACATTTCTCCAACACTTAGAGAGAGGTTTAAAGAAATCACTTGTCCGGGGTTCATTGCTTTTGTATCTCTTTTGAGTCTGGGTCAATCTAAATGGACATGTATAAAAAAAATCCACAACATTCTGCCAAGACACTTGCAGGAAAATGAAGGCCGCAGTGCTCAAATGAATGCAGAGGATATAGTTTAACATTTTGGCAATCAACTTTTTAAAAATGTTTTTAAATTTAAAATGTACATTAGGTATAGAGTACATATTAATGAGCTCACTGAAGAAAAGATGAACCAGGAGGGGTTTTGTTGTTTGCGTTTTGGAGATAAAAGATTTTTTTTTCCTTTAAAAAATAAAACAGCAGGTCCATTAAGCACTGAAAAACTCTGAGTTGGTGTCAAATGCTAGTAGTATGAATTGGTGGATAAGGGGTTAGTTACAACTCTGCAGTTGTGGGGAGCCATGGCTTGCAAGTAGCCTCTTCCATTGTGTCTACTTTCCTCTTCATACAAAAATATTATATTGAGGATATGTGGTTTCAATATTCTTAGCAATTCATTTCTAATAAGAATAGAACAAGCATCAGCCACCAGCCAAAAAAGATATGAATTTCTGGGCTGCCACAAGATACTCTTAATATGCACATAGAATAGTTATTTTGTCTGAATGTACCTTCTAAATTCAAAGCTCCTAATGTTGCCAACCGAGCAGCTTTCAGCCCAAGTCCTAAGTAGCTATAAAGGAGGATAAGGAACACTTAATTAATAACGAAGACAATGTATCAACATTTTACAAATTTGGATATAAATTATATTATGCCAAATAATTTTCTTGTTGCTTTCTAAGACCTCAGTGTGAAAATAACAGCATATGGCTCTTTTAAAATAATGCACAAATTATTGTGTATAATCTGAAAAAAAAGATAATTTATCTAAAATAAAATTATTCTGATAATAAGCAAAGATTTGGATTTACGACCTGAGTTGTACAAATGATTTAGGAGAATATGTCAGATGATTAGAATTAATCATTTATGTTTATTTTCTCACTTACCTGTGTGTGTATAGCTTATAAGTGCTGTTGAACATTTGAAATGAGGTAAGAAAGTCGACTGGTGTTTCTGTTAAGGTTTCCTAAAAATTATGAGAATGAAAAGTAATCGTTTAGGAATTGTTATTTCACACCATTTTTAAATATATACTGACCAAGCATTAATGGATGAACGATACCTTTCAACATCAGTAAAACTGATTTCAATAAATTCTTTAGTATTGCAAAAATTGTGCTTTTACATAATTTGTATAATTCCCTGATATCATCTACTACACAATAAATACAGATTGCGGATTTGTAGATTCTGAATTTCATATGTTTGTCAGAACGTGTCTACCAAGGAATGCTTTAAGTAATACCGGTATATTATTTTATCCATTTTCTATATCCAGTAATAAGCAAAGTTTTAAAATGCGTCTTTTTTAAATTTCTAGGCAAAAATATTTTTATTGATCTACAAATTTCCAAACCAAAGTTTAACATATCCTTCAGAGATATATTGACGGGAACACCTTGTGTCAAAAATAACCTTTTTTCTTTATTTATTATCTCCCTGACTTCCTAACTATTCTTCTAATTTATATACTAACCCGCTGTGTGTGTCGGTGTGTGGGTGTGTATGTGTTTATATGTCTCTATCTGTATGTGTGTGTTTCTCTGGGCTTACAATTAAAATCATAAAACAACACAAGAATTTTAAAAATGTTTATCATGATGGTGTTTGTACTATTTTTACTAATACAAAACATATTAAAATCGCCATAAAAATAATCAAATTCACAGCTGAGATAATCACATCTACCAATAACATTCAATACAATGACAGTATCAGTTCTATCACTTTCCCAGTTCCCATGCCTGCTGACAAAACCATGTTTTCAAGATGTTTCGAAAAGCCACCAGGGTTGGGGCCAATCTGATCTTTCTTCCTTGGTCCTGGCTGATGGGACCTGCAAGATCCCTTCTATCAGATCTGATATGATTGTTATATATGATTGGGGAGAGGTTAACCCTCAATCACCAAAGAATCCACTTTTCCACCATAACAACTACAAAAAATAGAAAATGGTTAAAAAAAAGCGGGGGGTAGGGGGGAAATGGCAGCAGCAACTCCCATTATTGAAGACAGGACTATTTTTCTGGATGTGTATACAGCTGTTGTAAAAGAGGTAAGATTTTGGCCACCATCTTTGAATCTCTTTGCAGGTATTTCAGGCAAAAAAAGCTTGGCTAGTGATTAGATATCTTTCTAATTAGATCTGGGAATGGGAATACTGTTTTTTTTTTTAAAAAAAAATAGAAAATCCTGAGAGGAAAGACCAGATATTTTTAGATCTCTAAATTTTTTTTTATGTCATGATTAATACAAATTTAAATGCATATTCACTATTTTGTGTAGTTGTTTACAGATTCAATATATGAGGACAGTAAATGTAGCAGAACAGTTTGGATATCCTTACAGTTAGGACTTTGTAATATCTCTTTGGGTAAAAACAATAGTTTCCAAACATTTCCTGCAGCCAAATAAGAGTTCTTCTAATTTTGCTTTTAGATTTTTTTTCTATTCTACCTTGGAGAAATCTTTTAGTTAAGAAATATTGCATCTCTGAGATCTCCTGAAAGATTTTCAAGATACTTAATTCTGATAATTGAAAGGCCAGTCGAAATCCTAAGTCTTAATATTGTGGAATATTAGTTTTTTAGGATATGTTGCTACATAGCCTATTTCATTCTTCTGTTCACTTGCATAATGTTTCATGTGGCACTGATGCCACACAAACCCATAAAGAGGCATCTATGTGTTTAGCACTGGCAAGGTGTTCTTTTCTTCAAATGCTTCATTCTTTTTTCTCAAAATATATCTCCAAATATGGTATGGTCAAATAATTGAAATTTTGTTTCACTAATCCAAAGAACCCTATTGCGGAATGTTTCAAGTTACCTTGATATGGTCTAGACCAGCCTTTCTCGACGTTTTTTACCCTGGAAGAACCCTTGAAATAATTGAACTCCTACATAAAAATTGTATCTGCAGCTTACATTGTGCAACATGAAAAGTTAAAACATTTTCTCTAATGACAATAATTTGTGGGATCTCTGGTGACCTTGTGTGGAACCCTAGAGTTCTCCAGAACTACTGTTGAGAAGGCTGTTCCAGATGGGGACAGAGAGTCTGGCAATATTCGTGTGTAGGTCATATTCATATAAACTATGCTGTTTTGTAGACAGCCACTACAGTTAATAGCTGACGTTTTCAGCAGGTTCCTTGCAGTCTCCTGCAAGGTCTGCAGAATTTTTGCAGATCCAGCAGATTTTTTTTCTTGTCTTCAAGCTCTATATAGCTTTCATTTCTTAACAGTGTTTCTCACAATTGAAACTGCTAGCTGGCAGCATTCAGAGGTGGATTTTTTTAAGAGCCTTTATTTGTGTTGGAAGAGTGACTTATCTTCATTTCAAATTCTAAGACAGCTGCTTAAAGGGCCCCATCGTTGAAAATAGAACCTTACGCTCACAACCAGAGAGATAAGGAAGTTTTATTGCCAAATCTGGCTAATTGCCAATCGCCTTTTGGGGCCTCTAACAACTTTCCAGTTTAAAAAAAATACACCTTATTGCTTGACTCAAATGTATCCTTACTCCTACAATGAAACAATTACTGTTTTCTTATTTGGAATTTGTACATAAATTCACATAAAGAGTAAATAAGCATTTAAACATACAGAATGGCTGGGTATGTAGAGGTTGGGCATTCATTTAAGGATTCATTGAAAGAGGCAATCTGAATAGCGGTAACTACATGGCACAAAACAACCATGTTATTTAGTTGAGTTGTGACCATAATGAAGGCTGCTCATTAGAGCTATAAGTTGTAAGAATCATAAAATGGATTCAGTCACATGATCAACCCAATTTTGTTTTTTACAGTGGTTAGGTAAATGTCGTAAAACAAATGCCATGGTCATTAAGTGAACCAATGGTTTGCTTTGCAGTTTTGCCAAAAACTAGAACTACGTACCAGTTTTTGGCAAAACCAAAATAAAATGCAATTATGTGACTGCAGGACACAAACAGCTATAAACGTGGCCATGTTGCCAAGCACCCAAAATAATCATGTGAATGCAACCCCCCCTTTTCGGGTAGGTTGTAACTTTGAACGATCACTAAAAGACCAGTTGTAAATTGAGAACAACCTGTATTTTGGTATTGTGTTAATCCAGCCATTGTTTATGTACCATGTTTCAGTTCATAAGCCAAACCAATATTCAATAAACCAACAACACTTCAGTGTCCTGAGTGAAGCCATGTATTTTCCTTTCTATGAATTTTTAATATGATATAAAAGACTATTTGGGTTATCTAAAGCATAGCATTAGAAAGGTATTTTTCTGTTAAGGAAGATATCAATGCTGAAAGTGACAATGGACATAAAGATTATCCAAACTATGGAACTTGCAATAGATCCGGCTATTCTATCTCCTCACCGCCAGCTGTGGCAGGAACGTTATCTGAGTTGAAGCTCCTCCCAGGTCCAGAGTTCCCACTGTCTGCTGCTCTTGGCCATACAACTGCCCTGCAGATAACATTGCACAAATTCAAACAGTACCCATATACAGCAAAACAACAATAATAACAATCCTGTTCTGGGAGGGTTTTAGCAAATCAGAACAAACATAACAGATGACTCTCCTACTATTAATAAGCTTCCTATTCAATTTTTGTGGATTCTATCTATTAAAACAGAAACATGTCACGGTAAATACCTGTCAAAAAATTCACAGTGATCCAGGCCAAAATACCTGTAAGAGAAAGAAAAAGCCACTGAAAAATTGATCCATCTATAGCAGTGATGGCTAACCTTTTTGCCATCGAGTGCCAGGAGAGGGGGTCGGGGGGGTCACGCGCACACGTGCCCACGCACATGTGCACAACCCCTCCCCCTTCCCCCCACCACTCCTGGCACAGGATGGCCTGGTAGGCCCGTTTTTCTTTCTTACCTGGTTCCAGATCCTCTCTGTGTATCTGGGAACAGTGAAAACAGCCTTTCCCACTCCCTTGGAGGCCCTACGGAGGCTGAAAGGGCCCATTTCTGAACTCCCGGTGGGACAGGAAGTGACATTTTTTGCTGTCCCCAGCCTCCAGAACCTCTCTAGGAGTCTGTAGGAGCCTCTCTAGGAGTCTGTAGGAGCCTCTCTAGGAGTCTCTGGAGGCTGGGGACAGGAAAAAACGTCACTTCCTGTCCCACCGGGAGTGGAGAAATGGGCCCTTTCAGCCTCCGTAGGGCCTCCAAGGGAGTGGGAAAGGCTGTTTTCGCCGTTCCCAGATACACAGAGAGGATCTGGAGCCAGATAAGAAAGAAAAACGGGCCTTCCCCACCCCCCCAGGCCCTCCAGAGGCAGGAAACAGCCTGTTTCCCTACTTCTGGTAGGCCCAGAAGGCCTGAAAATCAGTTGGCCGGCGCGCGCATGCGCCCCAGAGCTGAGCTGGCGTGCCCACTAATATGGCTTCGCGTGCCACCTGTGGCACGCGTGCCATAGGTTCGCCATCACGGATCTATAGACTACAAATACAAACTACAAAGGATTATTCCACACTCTGGATTTCTGCGATTAGTAATTATTAGTACTTTTCCAAACAGAATATCATTTCATTCATTGTTTGGCTTCTCAACTTTTTCACCAATTGGTGGTTGGGATGAGGAGATGTTCTCTTAACTTTCATTCCTGTTTCCCCATCTAAAATTTACTCAGTCTCTTTTCTTTGTTCTCTTGTTCCAGTTCTTGTACTTTCCCATCAGGTTTCTTAACATAGTGTAAACTCTGCAGATATATTGCATAATTTTACTGAAACCAACTTCAAATGACATTTTTAACTAATTGCCAAGTTAGGTCAGTTTACTCAGCTAAATTAATGTCTGGATTAAGGACATTCAGCTGAACTAACCTTAGATGAGTATGAGATACTGAATTAAAAAGTAAACCAAATTCATAATGTAGTTCTCCAAGTAGTTCTCCATATAATTTGATGAAGCCAGATTGTTTAGCTATGTTCAACTGGCTTAAGGTTTCTTTGGGAGAAAGTTTTGATCTGACTGTCTTGAAAGAAGAAGTGGTGTGCTCTTTCCCCCCACAAAAATCTCAGTATGTTCATTTTAGACAACTTCTGTCCAATTTCCAATCTGAGAAAGTTGGTGGAAAAGGAGGTAAATGAGTATGAGATGGAAACTGCATTGCTTGCTAAAATGGATGATCTGCAGCCTTTCTATTAGATCTTTAAAGGCATTTGATACAATTGATAATGAGGATGGAGGTGGATAGCACTGGTTTACACTTCCTAAATGAGAGGTTCCAATCCGTGAAGCTGGAGAATGAACAGTAGAGGCCAAATCATGTCCCTATCACTTCTAGACTGGAAGGTGTGTGTATGTGTGTGTCTTTATTTATTTGTTTATTTATTATGCATCTGATACAGGATTCTGGGCTGCTTACAATATGATAAGTAAAAAAAAAGGCAATACAAAACAATTACGATTAGAATTAAATGGATTTGCATGGTGCATGGACTTTACATGCCATTGTCCTTGAAAACTATGCTGAAACTGGAATCGTTTTGAATGTAGCAGCCTGCTTATTGGTATTTGAGAGCTGTTGTAATCATACAATATTGGTTAGTAGATGGTTTTCAAGTAAAGTTGAGAGTGCTGGTTTTAAGTGCCTGATTATCCTATTTGTTCAGTTTAGGGTGTTTTGGCTTCCCACATTTCAAGAGTTCTGGATGGCACAGAAACAGGTCTTATTGATCATGGACTATTCCTTTGTAATGGTTCTCCTCTCCCCAAGTTCATATCTCCATCAAATGCTACACTGATGTTCTTCAAGAACACAGTGAAAACTGGTTTTTAAAAATTCTTCAGATTGGATTGACTAAGCACATTGCCTGTATGTGTAGGGTCCTAATAGTTGATTTTTTAAAATCATAATTTTAGTTTTTGATAGTAGTGTTTTATTTAGCATTTAACTGTTATTTATTTGTTTTATTTAGTATTTTATTTGCATGCTTCTATTGTAGTTAACTAAAGTCACTGTGGAATAAGGAGGTATATAAATAGCAAAATAAAATAAATGCATATTCATTATTGTTATCTACATCTGTCCTTTGCTATGATGTGTTCTAACTGTAAACTCCATATGGACATTAGAACTAGTTGAATCTATTTTTCATCTAGTAATATGTTACTAATACAGCCAAACAACTTTATCATTTTCCTGTATACAGAATCCTGTTTCCCTAGGCTATTATAATCTTGGTCTCCTTAAAAGCAACATCACAATATTTTATCCTGTTCTGAGAAACCCTTCTTCCCCTTTTACTTCCCTAGTTATTTCTCTTCTCTATGCCTCATTTTGCTTATTTGTAGGACTCACCTTCATAAGATCCATCCATTATGCTAACACTATTATCAGGAACTAAAAATGGGGAATCCTCAAAGACCATTCTGACCTGTGGAAAGAAAAATGGGAGTGATCACCCTAGAACTGGAATCATTTACAAACAGAAGTATGCAAATTATCTGTATTAAAATTTAAAATTTAAATTTGTTTTATAAATTGGGGTGTTTTAAATTTGTTTTGGGCCAAAGTATTTAATGTATTTTTAAATGGCTTTTTAACGTTTGTACTATGTGTATTTTATCTTTTGGCTGTTCACCGCCCTGAGTCCTTCGGGAGTAGGGTGGTATATAAATTTAATAAACAACAACAACAACAACAACAACAACAACAACAACAATGATGATGATGATGATGATGATGATGATGTAACTTTCTTCTACAAAAAAATAGAGGAATGTAAAATCAGCTACAGGTTAAATGGTTTCATTCAATCTCTAAAAATTACCTTTAAAACCGGATTGCTTTCTGCATTACTACATTACTATGCCAGCCTTAATAATATGGGCTTATAGAAGAAATAGCTGTAAAATCACCAGAGTTGGAAGAAGCCATTAGATTACTGAGTTCAACTTCTTGCTCAATTCAGGAATCTCAAGTAACCCATTCCTGACCATTGGCTGTCCATTTCTACTAGAACAATCCAGCAAAAAGGAGCTCACCATTTCCTCATTAACGGATTCCATTATTGAACTTCTCTTACTAGTACTTCTCTCACATTCATCTAATATCTGCCTTCCTAGAATTTAAGAGTAATATTCTATGTCCTGTACTCTTGGACAAATAAAAAACAAATAATGGAATTATTTTATGTGGCATCCCTTCAAGTACAAGTATTCCTCAAGTTATGACCACAATTGACCCCCAAATTTATGTTGCTAAATTTGAGAAATTTGTTAAATGAGTTTTGCCCCATTTTACGACTTTTCTTGCCACATTTGTTAAGTGAATCACTATAGTTGTTAAATTAGTAATGTGGTTGTTAAGTGTTTCTCCACTAACTTTGTCAGAAGTTCGCAAAAGGTGATCATATGACCTCAGGACACTGCAACCATCATAAATGTGAGTCAGTTCTCAAGCATCTGAATATAAATCACATGACCATGGGGGTGCTGCAATGGTCATAAGTGAAAAAGGTCACTTTTTTCAGTGGCATTGTAACTTTGAATGGTCACTAAGTGAACTGTTGTAAGTCGAGGACTACCTGTACTTGAAAAATATTATAAAATCTCCCCTTAGTCAACTTTTTTCAAGATTGAACATACCCAGTTTCTTTTCTCTCTCCTCAGAGAACCAAGGACTTCAAATATCCCATATCCTATCCTATCATCCTCACTGTATTTCTGTGTGTGTGTTTTGGAATTGGAGGCAATGCTCAAGGGACATGTGACTAATCTAGGATATAGTGCTTTTCATGACAAAGAATTTTACGAGTGCCTCCCGTTGAGTTTGATACAGTATTTTAAAAAGCAACTGGGGCATATTCATGGCATAACACAAATGCAAAGGATTGAAAAAGGCCCCCACTTTTCTATGACACCATTAATTTTGTATTATAACCCAACATTACTTGCGAGAGTAGAGCCTGAGCTTTGTGCTCCGCTAATAACCGCAGACCAGCAGTGGCTTTCAATACTACGGGGGTCTTGCTCCAGTGACTTGGTGGAACAGCATTTTTAGCCATCTCTAATAATTTTCTGATTGTTTCAGCACCCTAAAGATTAGCAGAAACAAAAGCAAAAAACTGATAGGATTGGGCAGAATTTTACTTTACAGACATACTTTAAATATTTCTCTTCTTCAATTCCTTCTTCCAAACCTATTTTATTTTAGCTTGACATTTTCAATTTTCCTCTTGAACTAAGCTTAAGGAATATGCAATTGCCTTTTTTGACATCTATCCCTATATCATTAGGCAAACCACTGGTCCCGTCTATGTTCTCCTGCCCCAACCTCAGTCAATTTTCTCATTGTTTATGGACCTATATTGGGAGTGAGAGATGTGGTATTGGTTAATGGCAAAACATGTCTTTGCACCTACAGTGTTCCTGCTGTAATCACTTTTATATCTCCAGCTAGGTTTAGGGAAGAGATAATAGGAAAAAGCTTGAAGAATTACTATTTTCCAGTGAGAATAAGCAATAATGGAAAAATCAGATCAGTAGTTTGCCTTTATGATTCATATTATCCAAATAAATGCCAAAAGAAAAATCGTTTTCCATCAGAAAGTCTTACCTTCTTAGGCTGATTGGCATATGCTGAGAGACCTGGTTTCACTGATTCAAAAACTTCCCCTTTTAACTCTGCAGGGTTTTCTGTAAAAATTATATGAAATAAAATATTAGATAAGCTTATTTTTTATCTAAGGCTATAGATTTACTTCAATGATATTTTGCTCTACTGATTACAAATGAGTTAATAACTGAAATATGTTAGTGAAGGTTGTGGTTCTTAATCAAACTGTGTCCCAAAGATTCAACCAAGAGGTACCTTTCAGAGCAATAGATTTACAGTGAAACTATAGAAAACAGAAACTTTATTTTGTAGTACTTATATAATTCTTGGTAATGTGGGATTTCTGGGTGAATTGTTCTGTGTAACAAATATTATAAGACGACTGCAATACGAAGAGATATTCTTGAGGAAAAATCTAATCCATATCATGAACTGCTCGACAGCAACATTGTGATGTAAGGTGCCATTATTATTAGATTTATAATAGCTGTCCCACTAAAAAGATGGGCATCATTGCATCATAAAACATAATCACAACCAGCCAGCTGTAATACTACACAAAAACTGAAAGCAAAATATGACGAAATGGACTAAGATGTCCTTAGTTGTATTAATTCTCATTTTATTTGCTAACAGAGATGAAAATCCAGAAGCTTCATAATTCTGGATCAAAACCATCTCTCCTCTTCCTCCTTTTGGAAGACAGTTTTTTCGAAGACTACATTTGATTTTTTAGTGTAATACAGCTGTACAAATCCAGTATTACCTAAGTAGGGCAAATACTTGTATTGGATTAATAACAAAATAAAGGATTAATAACAAGGATTAAGACACTATAATATATAATTAAATACAATACTAAAACATACCCAACTGGAAATACCAAGCAATCAAAGAGCAGAGAATGTTGTTAAACATCTATAAGATAATCCTTTCTTGTTTTTCTATGTGTAGAATTAAGTTGCACTCATATCCTATTTCCATCTTTTAAACTTAATCTATTTTAGAATCTTTCTCAGGGAAATACATCAATTAAGCAACTGATCCAATAACTCTTTACAAAGAAACTTGCACAAACCAACCAACATTGATTGAAATAAGGAAATAAAGAAAACTGAAGGAAACTGCGAAAAGAGACTATGAAATAAGGATCCATCCACTACTCATCAGACTACTAAAATTTTGATTCCTTTAGGCTTTAATGGGTGAAAGGGCAAAATCTTTTGAACTAAGTGCCCCAAATGGCCAATTTGCAGAATGTGTCGAAAATCTGGGCCCCATGACTCCATGGAATTGAAATTTAGCAAATTTTATAAAGAATTTTATGACATCAACATTATCATGAAACAGTTTATGACATAATAAAAAATGTCATAAGACATGTCCAACTGTGGTATACAATTCAACATGGGGTATTTTCAAGGCAACCACATCTTTGAATGTATCCCAATTTTTTACTGAAGGCATTACATCAAAAGCTTTGTCACTTTGATGGCATTCTGGTAAGGAAATATTTCTGAAAGGATGACTCAGGGGGTCACAGGTTGTCTAGTAAATTCCTGAAACATTTAATCTTATCTGAATTATAATTTAAGAGTTGCTTATAGACTTGCTGAGGTCAAGTCAACAACTTGTGGATAGTAAACAAGGTGATTAATATCAAGATTAGTCAAATAATTGCTTATAATGCATTGACAAGTGTCTGGTTGTTATAGCATTTTTTATGATTTATTTATTCAATTTATATAACTAACCACCTCACATTTGTGACTGGATGGCTAACATAATTAAAAACTACAAAAACAATAAACAACATACCAAATGCAAAAACAGCACAAAAATAATATCATTAAAACTTATTAAAAACCACAAAACATAATCAGTGGGAAATTACAAGTGATGTGTCAACCAATATAATCACCTAGCAGACATACGTACACCACAAGTACATATGTTCAGGAGAACTTCCAACAATCTTACCTGGGCTTCTCTGAATAAAGGTGTAAATATGAATTCGTGTCCCTGTGCTTCCTGCATCAAACATAATGCCATAAAATGTTTCCATGCTGGCATTGGCTGGACACATCTTAAGGGGGAAGAGTTCTTGAAACCATAACTCCGGTTTGGGATGAGAAACAATACAATAAATGGAGGAAAACACAAATATGGCAATGACTGTGAACCAGGAAGTACCCATCATGCTTGGGAGCCTCAGGGAACTGCAGTTTGAATCAAGAATTCCAGATTGTAGAGGTTCCTGAAGATAACATTATATACATCAGAAAAATCATGTTAAATAAGTCAGCCAACACAGAAACTTCCCACATCCCCAAAAGGTGATTTTATCACTAATACAAGGACAAACCACTACACTTCAAGTCTGCTTCTTTAAATCTATGAAACAGTTACAACCGTGTTCTAAAATTCTATATGGAATAAATACAAAAGTTCTGCTTCTTTAAAAGTATCTATATGTTAATATTGAACATTCCAAATTAATGTAGGAATTAATGTAGTCAGCTTTGCTATAATTCTAGCTATCACTTTGAGAAGGCTAGGAAAGCTCAGAATACAAGTGTCATTCAAAACAACCAACAATGGGAATTGTACATTCTGTTGATGACACTAAGTAGGCAGAACAAAACAATGCATTTAGTTGTGGTGCCCTCCCCCTTCATATCCAATTTATGGTTCAGGATCATTTCTGTTTTGTGCTTTTTCTTTCAAATCAAACTCTCCCATTAATTGTGTTTGATGTGCAGAAACACACTTGCATCCTATAAGATTTCAGAAAATGTTGACACAGTAACGGATAAACAAATCTGCTTAAAGAAAAATTCAGCACAGGAAATTCACAAAAGCTAAATTATGCTAAAATCTCAGACTGAAATGCACATTAATTAAGGAAAACAGAAGATCGTTTCAGATTTTATGATTTAAGTTTCTGTAGCAGGAGAGAATTTATGAACATTGTTGCTTCTAGTAAATTCCCAAGTGCCTAAATAATTTGAAGCCAACACACTGGAAACCAGCAATTGTAAAGTTTGATGGGCTAGAGATTGTGGGTCAGATGCTTGGTTTTATTGTCTTTGCTATTGTTACAAACCACCCATAGTTGAGTTCTACAAGATCAACAGCCATAACGTAACAGCTCTATAGATTTCTTCACATTAAAACAAAGTATTTAAAATTTAAAACCATTTCTTCCTCCATTCAGGTCCCCTTTCCCCCGCTGTGCTATTTGTTTTACTATGCTTTTCACAGATATTTCTCTTCCACAGTGGATCCTTGCTGGTTATTAACTCTGGTGTGCTCTGTTTTTTTTTAATAAATGTCAACCTTTATCTTATGCAATCATTTTTCACAATTACCAGAGATCTGCTGATTAGAACAGTTCACTGGCATGTGATCGGTACTAGTATCTGAATCCCTAATTGCTGGATTCTTTATTGCTTCAGCATCCATCCTCCAACTTGTTTCAATTTTCTATCTCCTGTTATTCAAAAAAACTCAAGTCTGTTCTACTTTTCTTCCATTTTCTTGTCGTATCATGTGTTAAACTTTTATTGCTACTCTTTCAACTTTATTCCTACTCACAAACTATGACACAGTCCCTTAAGCAGTTACTTTTTAATCCAATCGTTCTACTAACAAAGTTTCTCCTAATAATTAATTGAAAAAATTTTTGCTACTATTTTTTTTTTTTTTTGCTGGTTTAATTTATAACTTGTTTAAAAAAATCAAATTATGATGTTCATGAAAAATAGGGGCAAGAAACGCATAGCAATACATGCCCAAGATACAATAACTATTATCTATATATTTCTTTGGAAATTGGGCAGGCATAAGTACACTGAGTCTGTATTTGCCAAAATGAATTCTGAACTTAAACCTAAATCTTAGGTTTCTAATGCGTAACATTCTAACCCATATAAAACCTAAAGTATTGTTCATATGTTGCTCCAAGTACCTTGTTGTCAAACTATATCGGATTTAAAAGTATAATTAGAAAAATATGATGCTAAAATTTTAATCTAATCTACATGGCTCTACATAGACTAAGGAAATTTGATCTAATTGGAAACTTTTAAAATCTAGAAATAGTGAATGTATGCAATGTAATCTATCTTCTTTTTACAAATTCCATCTAAAAATATTTTTATTGTAAAACCTTTATCATAATCTCTTAATCTCCCTACCCTTTTATAAATGTTGGTAATACACCATATACACTGGTCTTTATTTTCTTCCTCTCCTTTTTGAATGGGGTAAAGAAATGAAAAGAACAAAAAAAACACCTTTATTCTTTATTGCAAAAACTTAATCCCAAAGCCTTTTAAGGACTTTTCTTCAGGGGGACTTTAAAAAATAAAATTCTAATATTATATTGTTTAATAATGGCTAATATGTATGTATTTGCAATTATTATTTAGTTGTATACACCGTGAATTTTTTAAAAATTGAATTACCCTTAAGAGATTCTTCCTTAAAATGCATTGAAACTGAGATTTTGCAATATAATATACATGCATTGATTCCCCCTCCCTTTTTAGTTTAGTTTAATTCATCCAAGAGATCAAATTAGTTTGTACTGGTGATTTCTTTTCATTTATTTCCACAAAAATAATCCACAAGTAGCATGGGGGGGGGAGGGACAAAAGGAGAGGGAGAGGGGGAGAGGGAGAATGAATCCCAAAATCAGAGTTCCACAGCCAAGTGTATCCTTGAACCTAGACTCCCTGGCCATGGTTCAATACCTTAGCCACTAAGACACTTTGGCTCTCCATTTTTATTTTTATATATAACATATATTATTATAATAAATATCATATCATGTATCATAGATATTAGCCTTCATCCCCATATCTTCAAATAAAACGTTCCAATTTGGCAGTTTTTTTCTATTCCAGACTTCCCCCCCAAACATTCAGGACTTGAAATATGAACCATATATGTACTTACCTGTTCTATGGGTACAATGAAAAATATTTAGCTGTTAATCATGTAGGCAGGAAAGTTGCATATTATATATCAGTAAATCCATTTTCTGTGAACAGAGGTTTATCATTTATCTAAGGCAAACAAGAAAAAAAATGTCCAGTTGGAGTTTTTTTCTAGCAGAAGTTCAAGGGGCATATTTCACGTAGGAAGTTCCACTGAAAACTACTGACCTAGGAAATTATTTACCAACTTGAATATTCATTGAACAAAAAGATTAAAATCAATAGAAAAAAAAGACAAAGGCATTTACCACATTTTGTCAGTCCAGTTTTACTAAATGAAATAGATAATAAATCAATGTGCTCCAGATATGTGGTATTATCTTTTATCTTTCCTACTCAGGTTTATGGTTGTCAAATTGTGTAAGAACACATATGAACCTTGTAAGAATCTTGTAAGAACACCTACGATCCCAAGATTGGTATAATTACTTGGAACTGATATGTTAAGTGTCTTTAAAATACCATATCAGAAATCTTGGAGACACTGATACAACTGAAATTTGTGAAAAAAAGGCAACATCATTTTCAAGAATAGCAGCATACTGAGCATATCTGAACTGGAATTCGTATGTAAAGAAATCACACGTGACTTGTTTTTGCTGTAATCAATGACCTGTTATATTTTTAGAAATAAAAATATGGGTAAAAAGAGATGAACCACTTTTCCTTTTCACGTAAAATATTTATGCAGAAATTTTCAGACTGGGTAGATGAAAGGTTAAATTAGCATCGGAAGATACATGCCAAGTACTTGTCAATTGAGCCCTACAGAATTACATGAGATCATACTGTGGAAATAAAGAGCAGGATTGATAAAGTGAGAGAAGCATTTAAAAAAAAAAGTTTACTGTTGAGACTTTAAGAATGGAATTTTGTTGGGTTGTGCGCTATTAAATCTTGCCAGTTCTTTTGTACTGAATGATGCCCAAATGACAATCCGAAGAACAAAAGCCTTTTAATTCCGTTTATGGATTATTTAAAAGATCATCATGGGTTGAGTGCGTGTGAAAGGAGACAGCTCTCTAAACAGTGAGCGAAAATACAGAAAATACAAAGCTATCGAGACACGGGAGTTAGAAATATTTAGAACACATGAAATGCAACGAGAAATATCGCTCAGACCAAGGTAAGGGACAGCTCGAGAGGTTAAGAGCAGTCAGGAGTGCACCGAAAGACAGGAGTAATTTGGTTCGACTCCCGTGTCGGCGGCCCTGGGTTAGGGAAAGATACCGCTTCCCACCCACCCGTCATTAACCCCCGAGCCCAGTTTTCACTCACCATGTTCTCCGAACCTTCAGCTTTCCACATCTCACCGGTGCCGCGTGTCACGTCAATACACTGCGCGTTACGTCACGGGCGCATCAGCCCTGCCTCATTTTCCCGCGACGCGTGGTTTCCATGGCAACGGGGTCGCTTTAAGAAGGAAGGCAATCTCTAGAAAAAGCCCACGCCCGCTGACATGACAGGGAAAACCGCGCAAGACAAAGGCGCGAAAGGAGGGAAGTAGGTATCTTGGAAGGTGTTCTCCTAACGAAGGTGGTTGGGGGCTGCTGGCCGGGTCTAGTCGGTTAAACCAACCCTTCACTTGCGTCGCGTTGCTCTTCTCAGGGGGAAGAAAGACGCCGCGGGCAAGAGCAGAGTAGACCCGAGGAACTTGAAGGAGGAGTCGGAGGCCGAAAGGGCTAAAGCCGCAGCGGCGCTATGGGAGGCCAGGTTGGAGGTAACGGAGATCTCCCGCAAAGAGTACCGCGAGGCTGCTCGCCGCCTCGCCCGGGACAACGAAGAGCTGGAACGGCAGCAGCGGCGGCTGGAGAAAGATACGGTCGACGTGCTGTCCTGCCTCAAAAAGCAAGAAGCGGAGAAGGAAGACCTGGTAGGTGTAGAACAGAACAGAACAGAGTGGGAAGGGATCTTGGAGGTCTTCTAGTCCAACCCCCTTGCTCAGGCAGGAAACCCATTTCAGACAAAGTGTAGGCTCGCCCCTCTTTAATCTGTCAGGCTGTGGTTTCATGGGCAAATGTCAGTTACTGATTTCTTTAAATTGTGGATTTGGCTTGAATTATTACTGTATTTACATTACACCCAATGCTTTCAATATTAAATGTAAATGCATAAGTATCATCATCTCAACTGCAATGCAGTAATTGTGAGGTGTGCACCATTTGCACCACAGTCACTTTGGATAGGGAGATGAGTGGCACATAAATTTAATAAATAAATAAATTTCAGAATGAAGAAATGCCCTGGAAAAAAAGTGCAGCATTAACCACTATTAATTGCTGGGTTTGGCAGAGCAACCAAACAGAACAAATACTCTAATGGATAGTTAAGACTGCAGAAAGAATACAGGTAGTCTTCCACGTATGACCATAAATGAGCCCAAAATTTATGTTGCTAAGTGAGAAATTAGTTAAGTGAGTTTTGTCCATGTTATGACTTTTCTTGCCACAGTTGTTAAGTGAATCACTGCAGTTCTTAAATTAGTAACACGGTTGTTAAGTGAATCTGGTTCCCCATTGACTTTGCTTGTCAGAAAGTTGCAACGTGGTTCCAGGACATTGCAACTGTCATAAATGTGAATCAGTTGCCAAGCATCTGAATTTTGATCATGTGACCATGGGGATGCTGCAACGGTTATAAGTGTGAAAAATGGTCATATAAGTCACTCTTGTAACTTCAAACTGTCACTAAATGAACTGTTGTAAGTCAAGGACTACCTGTAAATGTAATTAGCCTGCCTTCCATAGAAGACCTGTGTATTGCATGGGTCAGAAGGAGGACTAAGAGCATATCTGCAACCCTTCACATCCTGGACATAAACTGTTTCAACTGCTTCCTTCTGGGTGGTGCTACAGGGCATTGCAGGGCGCAGGTCAAAATAACTAGACACAAGGATAGTTTTTCCTTAGGCCATCACTCTGCTGAATATCTAATTCTATTCTATTCTAATTCTAATTCTAATTCTAATTCTAATTCTAATTCTAATTCTTCTAATTCTATTCCCATTCCTATTCCTATTCCATTCCATTCCATTCTATTCTGATTAGCACACTACTCCCTGTATAGCGTGTAGCTTTCTTTTGACTCTGACGTTTGGACATGGGAATTTGATAATATATTCCACATCTGTCATGAGTGGGTTAGAATCGCACTTGAAACCTTGAAAAGCTTGAACATTGGCTCCTGGCCTGTCCTCCCTGGGTGCTTTTCCTGGTGTAAGAGATGGTAGGAAACAATCAGTTAGATTTTTGCTCAAAGGTCATCTGTGATTTTAATGTCATAGAAAGGTCTCTATGCTAATTGTTGGGTTTTCCATTGTCCTATTTTTGGGAATCATGGCTAGCTATGGGCATACTTCTGAAAAAATGAAACAATGGCAATTAATGACTTGCTATGCCTTTCATTTGTTAAGAACATTTTTCTCAGTACTTATAACATCAAAAAATCCTGTTGCTAGAATATGAAGAATATGGATTTATGCCAGAAGAAAGGCTTTCTGGAGATTTTAATTTTTGCATCCCTTCATTGAACAGTTATTGGCTTCTGGCTGTTATCAGGGGGAATTATTGACTTCTTTATCAACTTTATGTTTTTAATATTTAGATTGAGAAGCTGAAACAGCAGGTGAATGAATTGAAGCTCCGAGCCAAAGAGGAAAGTGAACTAGCGGTGAATGGACATTTCTTCTGACACTTTTGGTAACAAAGGACACTGCAGATCAGGCTTAGCATGTCTTAAGCATCAGGCATGACAGATAAATGTTAAATTTATCTACATAAATTACATAAGATTATTTTGCACTAAAAATACAAAATTAATTATTTTTAAAACTCACTTTGTTACTAATTCTTTAAACATTTTTTGAAACTTATTTTGCTAGAAAAAAATGAAAAAGTAGGGTCCAAGTATGCTGATATTCCCCTTGAGGTAATAAAGCCAAACATGTGCTTTTTTGATGGACTAAATTGTTGGCATCTAAGTGAGTTACTTCCAAGTAAACATACCTTGCATCAAGCTCTAAGAAAGTTGTAATCCTCAATTCTCAGCAGTTGGTTCATACAATCCAAGATAGAACTGTCTTGAAACTGATAAAGCCATTATTTGCAGCTATTTTGCAGTTTTATTTTATTAATAGTTATTTTAGTTCTTTAGCAGTAACCTTCATTTGGGGATGGATTGTTTTTAATTGCTTTTAAAGATTGCACTAAAATGACATGTTTGTTTTTCATACTGTTTAACTAGTTTTAGATCTATGCCTAGATATTTTATTTGAGCTAAAAGATGTTAAATTTGTAGGCAGAACTATTCGCTAAACAGTTAGAAGAGTTGGAGGAGAAATTTCATCGAAAGGCTAAGGAAATTGGTCTAATTCAGATTGAACTTAAGATGGTCAAAGAATTTCGGAAAAAGAAAGCACTTTTGGAGAAAGAATTAGAAGACGTAAGTTTATTCTTTACATTAATTTTTAGAAGGGCCTTATATTCTTCCTTTATTGATAGTTCCTATGATAGACAGATGTAGCTTCCAGTAGTGACATAGAGTTGTGAAATATGTATCAAAACAGTCATTATAATTATAATAGGACAGTAAAATATTACTTTGCAGAAATTCAACTGTCAAATCTGGCAGAACAGGTATTTCAACAGGTATCTCAAAGAACAATCATTTCGGCAATACCTCTAGAAGAGAAAAGTTATGTTAAAATGAGAGACAAGTTTATATCTCTAAATAGTGCTCATTATATACTGGTATGTATTTATGAGTTGCTGATCTATTGGGGTTCTTTTTTGTTTTTTTTTACTAAGTAAGAGATGATAGGTTAAAAACTACAAATCTGAAAAACAATTGGAGAAAATCTAAATGTGAGATGTCCTAGAATAATCCAGTCCTGGAAAGCCAGTTTGGTCTAGTTGCTAAGCACCAAACTAGAAAGCAAGTTCAACCCAGTTCAAGTCTCACCTTAGCCATGAATGCCAGCTGGGTGATTTTGGGCCAGTCACTCTTTCTCAGCCCACCTCACCTTACAGAGTTGTTGTTGGGGGAAAATAGGAGGAAGTTTTGTCAGATATGCTTGTCACCTTAAGTTATTTGTAAAAATAATAAACGTGGGATACAAATAGATAAATAAATGCAGGCCTGTGCAGTTTTTCTGTAGAAAGTATTGGTTGAATTGTCTTCTAGATGACTACATTATAATTAAATGCTTCTTTAAATTCTAGCTGAAAGATACCTTGGATATCACAAAAAAAGAACATCAGGAAACTATTAGTATGTTGGAGAAAAAGTTCATTGAAGAAAAGGTAGAGTATTTTGGGAATAGTAGACATAGAGCTTCAATGTATCTAATCCCTGCAGTAATGAATGTATACTTTTACTTTACTTTACTTTCTTTCAGCAACGTCTGGAAAGAGAAGCAGAGAAAAAAATTATAATGCTGGCTGAAAGAGCCCATCATGAAGCCATTGCGTAAGACTTAATTGATCTCTGTATTCCTATTTTGGTAAATATGAATGATGATGATGATGAAGAAGAAGAAATATGAATGGTTCTGGGAAATCAATACATGCTTCATTCCTGGAAAAAAATAGGGTGCCAAACTGAAAGAAATCCCAATACCGTGTTTCCCCAAAAATAAGACCTATCTCGAAAATAAGACCTAGCTTGATTTTTACATGTGTGCCCAAAATAAGCCCTATGTCCAAAATAAGCCCTAATTAAGACCCTGCCCTCTCTGTTGCACCTGTTTGCATGGGGTGGGGTGAGGCGCACGGGTAAAAATCAAGCAAGGGGGGTGGGTGGAGCTGCTTACCTTCAGACAGTTGCAGCCAGGCTTCGCACACCCATCTGCCTCGCCTTGCTGGTCCATTTCTCCTACAGCTGCTTGCACATGTCACCCCCGGCCTCTGTTTCGCTGTCATGGGCCTTTTCTGAAGGCCTCTGATGGCAAAATGGAGGTGGGGGCGATGCGCATGTGTGGTGGCAAGTGGCCGCAGAAGTGGGCCAGCAGCAGCCACACAGGCTCCTGCTGGGCAGGGCTGTCGGTGCCGCCACCACAAGGTGAGACAGTGGAAGACATCCCCTGAAAATAAGTCCTGGTGCCTCTTTTGGAGGCAAAAAAAATATAAGACCGGGTCTTATTTTTAGAGAAACACGGTATGTCCTTAAATAGATCTGTATCACTTCATTCTGAATTTATTTTTTGTATTGTGAAATATTAAATAAAGGAGCTAAAATCCTTTGCTGATAGAATTTCTTCTGTAATGAAATATGTGAAAGACGCTTCTTTTGGACTTGGACTCAAAAACTAATCCCCACTGTTGGGGATCCTCTAGACTAGAGCACGGAGATAAATTGATAAAGT